TGTGTGTGTGTGTGTGTGTGTGTGTGTGTGTGTGTGTGTGTGTTGATGCCACATCAGTCCTCTACATGCCCACCTACTGAGCTCACACCTCCTCTTTTCACGTTTTTGTCTGCGTGATTGTGCCGTGGCCTTGTCGTTGTTCTTGTAGTCGGCGTATTTGAGATAAACTTCAGTTTTTTTTGTTTTGTTTTTTTTTTGTTTTTTTTACATATTTCTTCCTCTCTGACACCTTGCTGTTGTTGTTTTTCCTGTTTTTCTCCTGGTCCACTGTTTTCGGTTGAGATGTGGATTGGATTGGATAATGGAGTGCTCACAATAGGGTTGCCACGATAGATCCTGCCTTTCTAACATTTTCCACTCCTCCTCCTCCTTTTCTCTCCAAATCCAGACTCCAAAGTCACCACCTGATGTCCACTGATTATGTTGGGTCTTCTTGATTTATGAGCCATGTTTATTCAGACTCACACACATGGCTGTTTGCTGGAGTCTTGTCCAATATCTGTTAAGCCCGATGCTTCTCGTTGGATTGAATCTGACTTTACTTTTATCTCCAACGTGGAGGGAGGGGACATCAAAGACTCAAATTAATTTTTTCATCCTCAGTCAAAAGTTGACACTTGACTTCTCTCGGTCGTGTAAATTTCAAAAGCTCCCCTCATGCTTGCCGTCCAACTGAGTTTCCAGACCGATTAGAGTTTGGTGGAAGAGGTGGGGAGGGGAGTGGGATAAGGCTATGTCATGGAGGGCAGAATGTGCTCATTGTTCAGAACTGTTTATTTAATCGAAACATCCCTCTCAGTGCAGAGCCTAGTCCCAGCTCCCCCCGCTGCCTCCCCGGCTCTTTGTCCCGACACAGAGGGGGAAATGGCCAGCAGCGTCCCTTTTTAAAACTGTCCAGCTGTCAAAGTGGCAGTGACATTTTCACAATGCTTCCCTGGGCTCATCTCCTCTGTTCGCACCCCCGCCCCCGGCACTGTAAGCCCCCCTCCCCGCCCCGCTCGCCCTCCAGCAGGCAGCGACGGCACCAGAGCCAAATCCACAAGTGACCGACCGATGAGCTGCAGGTTACTGATCCCAAACTTGTGTTTTCTTTTTCTTTTCATCCCACCTCCCTATGCTTCTCTGCAGTTCTGTCTCCACGACAAAACTGACGCTAACAGGAATAACAAAAATAAAATACAATCCCGTCTCCCATGTTGTGTCCCGTAAAGACCATGACATCATCACTTCCTCCAAATGTGATCATACAAATGTGATTGTTCAGCAGATTCGAGCCACCCAAAGGTTCAACACCTCTGGGTGTTCCTCACCTTCCACTCTTCTTTTCACAGAGTTTTCTATTTTGGCAACCCTATATTGTTCTAATCCCTACTAGCAGGCATTTCCTTGGTGTTCTTGACTGGTGGATTGGACTGGGGCTGGGTGGTGGGAGGGCGCTTGGCCGCAGTGTGGTGGAGTTGGGTTTTAGGGTGGGCTTACTCTGACATTTTTCTGTTTCTTACTGAATCAAACAAACTGTCACATGTGTGTGTGCTTCCCCACAGCATCCCGGCCCACTACGTGTACCCTCAGGCCTTCGTTCAGCCTAGCATGGTCATCCCTCACGTGCAGCCTGCCGCTGCTGCACCTGCCACCGCCTCCTCCCCGTACATCGACTACACCGGAGCTGCCTATGCACAGTATTCAGCAGCCGCAGCCAGCGCCGCCGCCGCCGCATACGAGCAGTATCCTTACGCCGCCTCCCCTGCTGCCACGGGCTACGTGACCACAGCAGGCTACGGCTACGCGGTCCAGCAGCCTTTAGCCACCACCGCCCCGGGCTCGGCCGCCGCCGCAGCCGCAGCCTTCGGCCAGTACCAGCCTCAGCAGTTGCAGGCCGACCGCATGCAGTAGCAGCCACTGCAACCACTGGACTTGCAGAGAGAGGAGGCCCGACCCCGGCCACAGCTGATTTACTACAAGGAGCGAAGGAAAAGGAAGAGGGAGTTGCCTTAAGAGTGTGACGTGTCAGCAACTCAGAGGCAGAGTTGCTTTAAAAAGGTGGTGATGGTGGTGGTGATGATGGTGGTGATGATGATGGTGGTGAGGTGGGAACTTTTTACAGTAACTTTCCAACTTGCTGTGCTTCAACCAAAAAAAACAAAAAGCAGAAAATGAAAAAAAGTCGCAGAACAAATAATGAAAACGGTTTATTATTGTTATTGTTATTACTATGATCATTATTATCATTACTATTATCGTTGTAGTAGAGTACTTATTTCTAGAGAGAAGATCCAGGAACTAATCCCTGTGGTTGGTATAGGTGTTCAACTAAGCCTTCAAGTCCTATTGCTGTCTTTAACGTTAGTTTAGGAAAATGCTCTCTTTTTTTTTTTTTTTTTTCCACTTGTCGTGTTCCACAAGTGTTTTCAGTTATTTAATGCCCTCATAACATTTATATTTATTACTGTCATGATTACACAATGAGGGCTCTGCTTGTTCTTTTTTGTCTTTTCAAGTGCATTTTTTGGAGTTAATATTTTCTGATAATCAGGGAAATGGAACCGTTTCCAATGTGTTAGCTATTATTATTATTATTATTATTATGTGACCTCTGTCAGGAAGTCGAGGAGTCGGAACTTGTCGTGTCACACACATTTGAAGAACTACTTTTTTCTTTTTTCTTTTTTTTTTTTTAAATCTTCCTGATGCTGAATGTCCCTTTTTTTTTTTTTTTTTACTCTGTGTCTCGACCTCTTGACCTATGCAAAGCAAACAAATCACCATGAGACGAAAAAAAAAACAACAACAAACAAAAAGACAGAAAAAAAAAAAACTGAAAATGTCATCAACTCTGACTCGACTCTTGGACTAAAAGGGGAACTTGGCAAACAAAACAAAGGCACTGACAAAAGGAGGGAGGTTGAAAACGGCCTCAGACAATGAGAAACACTAAATCTGTTGCTTTTCCACATTTCGCTCACACGTACACTGACGCATACATCCAGAGTTGCACACATAGCAGTCGGAAGACAAAGGCAGCACAGTGGCATTTTCTCTCTTCTGGAGAGAGAAAGGGGGAAAGAAAAAAAAAAAAGAGAGAGAGAGAGAGAGAGAGCAGCTGCTGGTGGGGGTTGGACAGAGCCGCTCCAGCGCCGCACAGACGGATCACTCTGGAAAGAACGCATCACTTGTGCTCGTTTGTTGAGCTGTCACATTTTAATCCCCGGCCGAGCCCATTGGGAACCGACTTTACACCCCCTTCCACCCGCCGCGGAGCCCCCCGCCGCTCTGCCGCTGTCAGCATTTCCACCTCTGTTGCTGCTGCAGTCTGGCGTCAGGTACAAACACTTCAACCAAAGCCACCCTGACAACTGGCCTGCCTCATGTCTGTCAAGAACACCAGGTGGGGAGGTGGAGAGAGAACAGGGGCTTGTCTCCTCTTTGACTTTACGTTGGTCCGTGTGCCTTACATTTTTACTGCTATTTAAGAGAAGAAGAAGAAAAAAAAAAACTGAAAAAAGAGAGAAATCTACTATTTAAGATATTTATTTTTGAGGGTTGACTATGTTGACGAGAGTAGAGACTTAGTGGCGGTACTGTATTAATAATATTATTATGTACTCATCTCAAGGCATATATAAGTTATTGATTAGTTTTATTATTATTATTATTATGATTACAACTATTATTATTATTAACATACTCAACCAAAAATGTTGATGTAGGAGTTATTTAAAATACTGTTACGTGCACTGTACTTTTATTTTTTATCTTTTTGATTCTTTAGAACATTAAATATTAGCTTAATGCCTTTTGTATGGAAGAACTTTATTTAAATGCAGACCTGTTTGCATGCAGATTGTACTCTGCCTCTTCTGTGTTTAGATAAGAGGAGAAAAAAAAATAACCATAACTTTGACAAAAACAAGCAAAAATGCTGCTTTTTTCTCTACTAGAATGTATAGTCGTTGTCGAGGTTTCAGTAGCTGTGCTTCTTTTGCTTAATATTCATCAGATGGGCTATTTTACACTGTTGGGAATTTTTATACTTGAACTCTTTCTTACAAGGGAAATATGAAAAATAAATGACAAAAAAAAACTTTTTAAAGGAGCTTTTCATTGTCACTGGATGAAGGCATGTAAAGTGTTACTATTTAAATGCAAAGGTCCTGTTGATATTAAAACCTTTACTTCAGAATTTCAACACCATTTACTCAAATTGGAATAAAATGTTCTATATTTAAAAAAAAAAAAAAAAGAAAAGAAAAAGCTTGTTGGTGTTTCTTTTTGTGAGGACTGAAATTGGAAGCAGCGAGGTTTCACGTCAGGTTGTTTCAAAGTAAAACACACATAATGATCATTTTAGACAGAGCTGTTTGTCTTGTACCATCACCCATATGAGGACTTTAATCCTCCTGTGCATCCAACATATACACACTGTTGTTTATGTGTCGCCGTTCTAACATACACGGAACCCCAAAGAGACCAATATTAAATAAATAATCATAAGAACAGATTGTGTAAAATGTGTAAATGAACCAACTGTGAAATAGTTGATTTTTTAAAAATTCACCTCATTATTATATAGCATTATTTTATTTTGCATTTTCTTTTATTATTTCATATTAACGTTCCCTGAAACCCTTAACCCTTAACAATAAACTGACAACACTTTCGCTTCACTTTGATGCTGAGTAATAAACCAGAGGCCCCTTTTATAATTTTCTAATCGCTTTCAGGAGTAAAACTCAACTTACGCTGCAAAATTTGATTAAACAACCCCCGAATTCAGAATAGCTTGCTAGCTAGTTAGCCAGATGACTAGCTAACAAGGTTAGAGGTTAGTACCTGTAACAACTGTGTGTTTACAGCAGGAGCCGGATGGTTGTTGTTGCTGCGCTAACAGATGCTAACTGGCTACATAAAGAAAACTGAACCCGTCATGAGAAGTGACGCTATGAAACAAAAAAAGTTCACATGAACTAAAAACTGAAAAGAATAATCCGAACTCCTTAAATTATTGTGCAAATACAGTCCTGACTTGACATTCCAACCCTTACCGATTCGAAAACCTTGCTATCCGACAGGTTTTTAGGAAAAACTAACCCATTAAAAACAGCCTAAACATACCGACAGCCTTGGATTCCAACTCCGACATGACATTTTATGTCACAAATCAGGATAATGGCGTATTATCTGACTGAACAATCCCACAGATTGGCTACATTCAGACTGCAGGACTTAATGACCAATTCTGATTTTTTTGTGAAATCCGATTTTTTTGCGAGTTCGTTCACATTTCCAATTAAATGTGACTTGTATGTGATCTGCTGTGTGAACTTCATACGACCCAAAAGTGTCCCACATGCACAGAAGAGGACACAACGACGTCACACACAGCGAGCATGCTCAGTGTTTGCAGAAGTAAACACGGATGGTAACGGTGGAGCGTATCTGCCACTCCCCCGCCACCAATGGTGGAAACAGATGTGTGACCACTAAATAAACTGGCATCAGCAGCCAAGTACTGCCTGTGCATTCCGGCCACTTCCACCCCGTTGGAGCGCTGCCTCAGGGTGGAAGTGGTTCATCCCCCCCCCCAACTGTCATGAAAAGACCAGATACAGGTCGCATAGGAGAAACAAAAAAATCGGATTTAGATCACTTTAGCCTGCTGTCTGAACGTATTTACCTTTGATGTCAACCGATGGGCCCGTGCACAAGTGCACCGGTCCAATACGCGTGAAATCCAGCGATGCATAATGTTCTAACGATACACTAGTTATTATAACAACTATGAACAATACATATTAACGACAAATGAGCCTTCCAGCATCAAGCCCTCCTTGTATCTCGACCTCCGTCTTGACAATCCGACAGCCTTGCTATCCGACATAAAAGAAGGTTTTACGCTTAGATTATCGAATCATGACTGTATTTGTGTGATTTATACATTTTCAACAGTTCATGTCACAACTAATTTAACTGTCGCCTATACATTTTATTTTTGAGCACTCTGGGGCTCCGTACAGTTGATGCTTCCCTGCTCCTCTTCACTGTAAAACTGTCTTGAGATAACGTTACATGAAGCGCTGACGTCACAGACACACCCAGGAAGAGTTTACATGGAGACGACCGACACATAACAGCGTCTCCAAGGACTCGGTCCATCAATGATTCATCTGCTAATCAATAAGTCATGTTAAAAAAACAAACCTAGCCGCTCTTTCTCTGCCGTCTTTTCCTTCGACTCGCTGGAGTATTTTGGTCGCCAGTGAAACACGAAACCGGGGCCACATGCTGCAGGTGGGTGACCATGACACAGCGTGGATGCAGCAAGGCCTTATGGGTAAAATCAGCAGCTAACATAGCACCTGACCTCGTGACATAACAAGAATAAAGCTTATTTGAAAGGATGATGTAGCTCTGTGTCCTAGTTGGAGGTTAAGGAGGCATCTGAGTTACTTTTAATGGTGCTTTCTCATAAGGCATCACGTAAAAGAAAGCTGTGTTTGTGGCAATTAGTTTGTCAATGAGTAATAAAAATCAGTTTTACAAATGATAAGCCGTAAAGATTATTAAGTTGTTGACTCCATCAGTTTTACAAATCAGGATGAGTTTACTTGTCACGAGGAGAGTCACTGGGTCCATAAGGCCACTTTCATAACAGCTTCTGAAGGAAATTCTGAAAAAAAAACAACCTAATGAAGTCATCGGTGGTAAATCAACTTAGAATTTTAACTGAAAGTCTTTGTTACTGACTGGGGGAGGGGGAGGCGTGGCAGCTAAGGGTTGGGTTGATCACTTTGAACACATGCAAAAAGCGTTTCTAATTGTTTTCCCAGAGACCACACTCCAAGTCGGAGTGAAAAGCTTTGAGAGAGCTGCAGAAAATGTCAGAAATTTCCCATTTAATTGATGGGGAAAAAAACGAAGAAATAAAGAGATAAATTGTCTGATACAGATCTATAAATCAGCTCAGCTAATTTAAAATCATCTGATTTAACTTGTTGCTAAACCACCATAAACTAACACAGTACTTCAGTTGTACCTTGGTGAACTGGAGGTTACGGCTTTAACTGTGAACGCATCGTCTCTGGATAACATCCCTGTCACGAACGCTACTGTAGCTATAAAATAAAGGCACACATGAGCACCACCTTATCTAAAAGGAAAGCTAATGCGGCTGATTACGTGGGGACTCCCAGCATATAAGCAGCAGTAGCCACGAGAACAAGAGGTTCTCTTGTGACTGTAGCATGTACAACGTACGTGAAATGTCTGCACGTTATCCAGATTTAGCTCCATTTTAATTGCCTGTGGACGTACAGTCGTCCTGAAATGTATTCACACCCTCCCATTAAAGAAGGAAAAACAGCTGTCATTGAAATAAGTTTAAATTATAATAAATAAAAAAATTATGAAAATCATGACATTGCTTTTGAATTGTGGTTCAACAGAAATATTTTTTAAAAAACAAGAAAACAAGCATGACGGGACCCGTAAACTAATATTTAGTTGAACAATCCTTTGAGTCAATCACTGCAATCAGGTGTTTTCTGTAACTCTCAATCAGACTTCTGCACCTGTTGACAGCTATTCTGATTTCACTGCTCATCAGCAAAGTGCTCTAATTGGTCCGGGACATATTTTTATCATTATTTTTTACATTATTCTTTTCAACCACAATTCAAAAGCAATGTCTCATTTCACTAAATTATAATGTAGCAAATTTTTATTTATTATTACTTTTTTCAGTTTCTAGTTATTTGAGTGACTGTTGTGAATTTTGCCTTTTCTTTAATAGAAGCGTATGAATACATTTGGTGGTAAGGGACACATTTGTTAGGACACTGGAGGCATCATCATCTGTAGCCAATTCTCCCTCTGATGTGTACACACAGACTGTACAGAGCACATTCTTCTTCTTTCTTTTACTCGTACAATGATGCAATTTCTTTTTTGGGGGATTTTTCTATGAAGACATCTAGTACACTCCATATATAGATCCTACAGTGAGCCAGATTGAACAGTGATGTACAGTCGTCCTCAGATGTATTCATATCCTTCCATTAAAGAAAAGGCAAAATTCACAACAGTCACTCAAATAACTAGAAACTGAAAAAAGTAATAATAAATAAAAAATTGCTAAATTATAATTTAGTGAAATGGGACATTGCTTTTGAATTGTGGTTGAAAAGAATAGTTTAAAAAATAATAATAAAAATATGTCCCGGGCCAATTAGAGCACTTTGCTGATGAGCAGTGAAATCAGAATAGCTGTCAGCAGGTGCAGATGTCTGATGGAGAGTTACAGAAAACACTTGATGGCATTGATTGACTCAAAGGGTTGTTCAAGAAAATATTAGTTTACTGGTCCCATCATGCTTGTTTGCTTGTGTGTGTGTGTTTTTTTCCTTCTTTAATCGGGGGGTATGAATACATCTGAGGACGACTCTGTCCGTGTACGATGATAATCCAACTCCTGCTTTACACACAGTAAAATAAAAAATCCCTCACAGCTGTGATGAAGGTCAGAGCTGAACCTTAGGACAGCCGCTATTGATTTAACTTATAAACACTGGCTGTGTGTGTGTGACAGCTCACCTGTGTGAAGCGAAGAAGTGTACACACTGTTAGCTCCTGATCATTTAGAATTACAAGTTGGACTAATTAATAAGGTTTGTTCTGTTGTTCCGTGTGCATAAACACACGCCACTCAGCCGCCTCGGAGATGCTTATATGGACCCTGCTGCTGTTTGAAGCTACAGGTATTGAATAAACTCGGAGGAAAGACTGCTACAAACAGCCGGAGGCGACAAACTAAACTTCAACTCCTGTTAACATTTTGGCAAAGAAAAGACAACTTGTACTCATTGTTGGTGGGTCCCATTAATCGGACCTGCTCTGTTTTCATTGAGTTTTATTGTTATGAAGTTGGGAGATGAAGGTGTGGATAACAGGAGTGACAAGAATGAGGAAGGTGCATCAGCAGACTGGCTTTTATGCTCTCTGTGATGTCTTTGGACCAACATTTGGTGCTGAAATGAGGAAAAAAGCCTTCCAGGAATCACGTCACACAACTTCAAGTGCACTGGAATCCTGACTTTTATTGAAAAGTTGCCACGGTGCTCATTCAGACGTGACAAGTTCAGTCGCCGTCAGATTAATGGAGAGGACTGTGTGTCTGAGTTTGGCCCTTATAGGGATTTAAAGTATATTTTTCCACCTTTTATTTCAATCAATCTTCCTCAGCCCCACAACAAGGAAGTCTAAGCAGCCATGAGCTCCTTAAAACTTGATTAATTGAGCAGTGTGTTGACTTATTAACAGGATCTGTTTTTGGATCTTGATATAAATACTGCAGCTCTCAAGTTTAGGGGGATTTTTTGGGAAAGTGGAGGGGGAAGGGGGGTTTCCAAGTTGGGGCTCAAACTTGATTTCACTCCCATGGGCTGTTTGAGGACCCTGGTGATGTCTCCCCGACACTCCCTCAGGACGGACAGACCCCTGCAGACATGGCCACAGCGTCAACCGTGCGTCTATTTTTAGCAGAGGCTGCCATGTTGTCTGCGAGGTAAATGTCCGTCCGTCCCAGAGGAGATATTGCGGCACTGAGTCACGGTCTTGCTTGTTTGCACGCTGCAGCTGCGGGGCTCTCAGGTTCAACCGTGTGGCTTAATTAGGACATCCCGGAAGAGTTGCCGGTGCTGTGCGCAGCGGAGTGACGGATCAGGGAGGCAGGAGGGGACCGCAAGGCAGCAGCAGCCACACGGCCACCGATCCGTCCCGGGAAATTCACAGAAAACTTCTTTTTTTAAAATTGCACGACCACAGGAAGGAGGTAAGATGTTCTTCTAGGAGAAACTGCTCACGATTTCTTTTAAGCGAATGTCAGGTTTTGTGGATTTCTGGGTGGGGCGGAGAAGCAGAGTCCGGCCGAGGGGGTGTGCGTCTTTGCGCAGAGATGTCCAAACAAAGTCATCCTCACCTGCTGCCTGCGCGCCGTGCTGTTTGATATTTTGGCAGGGAATATGAAAGCACCCTCTGCTGACTTTGTTGACAACAGGTTCAGCTTTTTTACCTCGTTTGTCTGCTGGAGTAGCGGTGATATTGTGGCGCGGACTGTGAAGCATCAGATTTGACGAGGGGCGTTGAAAGTGCTGTCAGCGTGCCAGTGTCAAGTCATGGTTTATTATAGTGTGACGGTGTTCTGCTCAGCTTGGGCCTGACAGGGCCTGCTGAGCCCCTGACAAAAAACAAAGTGGGTTTAAAACAAACTATTATTTACTTTTGCAAATATCCTGTTTATTGTGGTACATTTGTGGAACATCAGTCTGCAAAAGTCAACTTTAACTAACTTTTAAGTCCACGTGGATCAGGTATAGTTGATATTTTCCATAAAAACAAATTAAAACTAGTAGATAGCTACTCATAAATAGTCATGTCATGTGATCAGAAGTTCTTTGAGGTGAGACTGTTTTGTCCAACAAGATTATATACGATCAGCTGCTTCTCACAGGCCTGTAAACACTCACACCTGTTGCTCCCAAAGGCCTTGTTCACACTCTACACTGTAAAAAATAATATTAATAATAATAACAATAATAATAAAATACATTTTTTTAAAAAATGTATTATTTTTTTAATGCACAGAAATATTATTAAAATCATAACATTAAAATCCTGTAAATGTAAATAACCATACTTTTTTTTTTAAGGAATATTTTTTGGCTTAAAAATACACTTAATATACATTCACAAATTTTTAGAAAATTTTAGAATTTTGTCAATATTTTTCTTTTAATTTAATAAATAAACCTGATACATTTAACTTTAAAATTGTAAATATATAATTAAAATGACATAAATTAATGGCAATTAACAGAAAAATAAGTATTTATCTTGTAATTTTAAATAGATTTGTTGTACATGTGTAGAAGGTTTTATTTTAAAAAATGTTGAATGAATACATTGTATAAATATATGAATAAATATAGTTTTTATGATTATATATATGATTTATCATTGTATTTATCTAGCTATATAACTATATATTATCATTATATATTACAGATAATTTAATTGTTTTTGCACACTTAAATATTCTTTATTTAGCTTTTTAAAAAAAAAAAAAAAAAAACCTACATGATCTCAACTAAAATTAAGGTTACTTATAGCATATATTTTAATTATGGAAAAGTATTGTATTTTTATGAGATGGCTATTTTCTGTTATTCAACAATAGTTTTTTGTGCCCCAGCGGCCATAATATTACCATTTTTTTACCTTTTTTTCTCACAATACATCTTAACCATTGGGTTATATTGACTTCACAGCTCTTAATAACACATTAGGCAGATCATCAATATACACAGAGTTGTTGTATTTTAATCAAAACTACGATGCTGCAGCAGTTTCTTTTGTAAGTGGAGACAAACACCAGGTCGCTCACTCACAGCTCACACTGATGATATCACAGCTTCCTGTTTCAATGGGCTGCACGAACACCGTCAGCAGAACCATCATTTATGCCGTTTGCTCTGATTTTTCTTCATCCTTCATCTCCACATTGTCCCAGAGTACAGCTCAGAACACTGAGACCTACATTAGAGAGTCTTACAGTTGGCCCATAGCAGCAAACGCCAGGCTGTGGCCCAATATAGCCCCGAAGATCAGATACCAGGCCAGGGGGTTCAGGAGACACATGCGGGGTCAGGGTGAAGTCGGTAATATCTTTCCACTGCAGGAGCATGTGTGCTTTCTCAGCTGCTGGTTTTGGTCCAGGGTCTTCAAGTAGCAGACGCTGTTCATGATGTGGAGTCTACCGAAGAACATTTCCTGGAAATTATACGCAGATGAAAAACATTTTTGTTTCCCTGTTCTTTGTGCCACACAGATGTATTCCTGCTGCAACCAGCAGGCTTAATTCCTGGCTGATTCCCATTACAGTTTTTGTGATGGGCTGAATGTATTGAGTCCATATGAAAAGCTTAAAGAGCATCATTGGCCATGTCTCTGCATTGCCATGGAGCATTTGGCCGACTGACAATACAACCAGTGCAGACGCTGGCTGTTTCTGCTTTATGGTTTATGAGCAGATTTTGAAGTTGTCATTGAGCGAGACAGTGATTAAGTAACTTGAGCTTTCACAGTTATTTGATTCTTTGCCATCTATTTATTATAAATGTGCAGCCACTGTGCAGCAACAGTATTCTTTTTCAATATACGTTAATCATGATGTCACAGTGTTAGATCTTTAAACAGCTCCAAAACCTAAAGATTAGATGAAATGCTGCTGACCAGACCGTGATTTGATTGACTAAATGTTTCATGGTTTTTGTAAAAGAGTTATTAAAAGAGTCATCAAGTTGTATCATCATTGGTTTCAAAGGATTCATGGGAACAACTGAAGCCATCCAGTCTTCCAGATGTTGTTCTCACTTCAAACTACTTACAGCAGAAGCTAGTAATCAATCAGCTGGAGTATAGATGCTCATAAATCGCTGATAAATTCCTAATATCGATAATATAGTTGAAGATGTATAACTTTTTTCTCCTGCTGTTTGGTGTCCGTTTGTATGAACTGTCGCTCACATGCATATCACCTGATATTTTGTAGATTTATATTTATTGTTTTTACTTTTTTGTGTGTACTTGTTACTTAAACATGTCTTGTTTTATCTTTTTTATGTTTGACATACTGTATAGTGGCGCCTTGAGGAAATAATAAGAGCAATTTGACTCAACGTTCAAACTTAGGATAGGAATCTGACGGGCTTAATCCTAATAGAAGTCCTGGTTTCGATCTAACCGGTTGCACACTTGTTGTCAACCTGCATGCAGCTCTCCAGAGGACGGCGGAGCAAGTTTGACTTAGTCAGGCTGTCTTTATGTTCGCTGGCTCAACAAACCTAAAACCCCAGTAAGACACAATGGCTGTCATGACGATGGTTGTCAGCATTTTTTGTTAAACAGGATTTCTTCTTCAGACTTCAGACACAGAAGCTGCTCATTTCTAACATGACAGCTGCACATTACTAGCTAACCTTCATTCATTCAAACATGATGCTGAAGAAGGACACTTAAGTCCAATTGGTATTGATGAGGGCTGCAAGTTGGCTCGGTGGTTAGCATCGTTGCCTCTCAGCTAGAAGCCGATTTGCATCCCGGTGAGGTCACCTGGGATCTTTCTGCATGGAGTTTATACGTTCTCTCCGGGTTCTCCGGCTTACTCCCACAGTCCAAAGACATGTTGAGGTCAATTGGTGATTCTAAATTGTCCGTAGGTGTGAATGTGAGTGTGCTTGGTTGTCTGTCTCTAAGTGCAGCCCTGTGATAGACTGGTGACCTGTCCAGGTGTCCCCTGCCTTCACCCTAAGTCAGCTGGGATAGACTCCAGCCCCCTGCGACCCTAGTGAGGATTAGGCAGTGTATAGATAATGGATGGATGGATGGTGTTGATTAAATAATCTTTGTGATAAATACAGATAGACTGATCAGTTTTCTCTCTACCAGCAGTGTGAAATGGACTTGGCAGTAAATCAGGTCAAAACCTAAAAACCTGTTTATGCGTCACCAACTGAATGTGTGTTGGTTCCTTCATCAACAGTTCCAGTTTGTTCATGGATTTCCTCGGTGGGGTTACTAATATACAGCGTAATGTATTTCCTAGAGTCTGTGTCGCTCATAGAGAATTGTTAAGAAATAAATTGATGAAAGACAGATGTTTTAATCCAAAACCAGGCAGGCTAGCTCTGAGGCATCAGTTACCATGGTGATGTAGCAGGTTAAAAGAGCGCCACCTTTGTGATTGTGAAAACTCTGACCTTGGGCTCAACGTATCTGCTAACCCGCTAATCTCACTTCATGGTGCAGCCCTCAGGTTTGTGCTCTTGCCTAAGAGCTGTTGTGACCCAGAGAGCAGAAATAACATCTGAGTCCTGCATCAGGCATGTGGCACTGCTGGGAGATTTCTCCAGGGAGATGATTCGATGACGCCCATCATGACATGTTTGCTGCTCATAGCACATAATTACCAGACATAACTTACAAAGATTACAGACAAGGAACAGTATTCAGTCTGCATAGCTGTCGTATTAATGCAGAGCCTCCTGGTGTTTTCTTTTTGTTTTTTTTTACAGATCATTTTGTGAAGCAAATAAAGTCGTCTCTCTCCACTGGACTGTGTGTTGGACGCGCAGGTAGCAGGTGTCAGATTAGGATGTGTGTGTTACCTAGCAGTGGTTTGCCTAAACATGCAGTGGGCTGCCGGATTGAATTCCCACTCTGTTCCCTAATAAATATTGGAAACAAGCCGTCATTGCCTCATGGTGAGACATATGGCTGGTTGGTGTTAAAGACGGAGATACAACACGGTTTGTTCTGCATTCTCAATTATATTTCAGCCAGGTTCAGTCACTGTTTGTTTACCACTTAAGAGATCTGTTTAAACTGAAGCAACAGACAGAGAGACAGTTTGAAATGCTGGCAGGAAATAAAAAATGATAATTCAATCAATTCTGGTTTTGGATTTACTGGATTTTGGGATTGTAAGAGCTGCAGTTTCTGGGGAGAGATCTCAAGAATGCATGATAAGTATCTGATAAGTGGTGCTGTAGATGCTCTCCTTTGTTTAGATATGACTGTTCCTGTCCTTGTACCAGGAGCCCTTTTGATTATATGACAAACTTATCTGCACAAATTTATATGCTTGTTTATTTGATGTTTTTTTCCTCACGTCTTCTTGTTGTTGCATATTTCATTAGGTTTTCTGTAATTGCTTCCACTGCTCTTCATTCTCGTCCTTTCCTCTCAGCTTGGCAACAGTTTCTTTCTTCCTTTAATCCAATTATGTGATACGTTTTTTTACGCTCGCGGTCGAGGTTGTGACTCCGGCAGAAGGCCAGAGAGCTCAAACAGTGACAGTATTCACATAAAAACCAGCTGCACCGACTGCGTTTAGCTTTTTTAGGAAAATCAGGAACGGCAGGGTGGGAAAGTTGAATAGTGAATGTGTCCGCTGCTCAATCATTATCTGCGGCCTCCCTGTAAAGAACCGTTCAGCTCAGCGATACGTGAAGCGAGACAAAGATTAGACGTAATATTATTTCAGCTATAACGTTTCACGCTTGGCAGCAACGAGGTTGTGATGCTTCAAAAATAACAGTGATTCTGCTTTTGTTTCTAGGTTTGTCACCATGGAAGGATTAATGCAGCGGCTGGAGCGAGCTGTGACCCGCTTGGAGCAGATGTCCGTCACGATGCAGGCGTCCAGCGGCATGACTAACGGGGACTGTGTCAACGGCATCGATGGGGGTGAGTATCACTGCTTCAGTTAAAGCTTTGGAGAGATATTAAAGATTGTTTTGGGAGCTTTTTTTTTTTTTACATTTATTGGGCAGTGACAATGGACAGAGACAGGGAATGTGGGAACACTGAGAGTAGAGGAATCAAACCAGGAGACTGCTTTTACATCCATGTGCTAGGCATCCTAACCCCTTCCATCCATCCATTATCTTTACACCACTTAATCCTTACTAGGGTGATGGGGGGCTGGAGTCTATCCCAGCTGACTCAGGGTGAAGGCAGGGGACACCCTGGACAGGTCACCGGTCTATCACAGGGCTACACTTAGAGACAGACAACCAAGCACACTCACATTCACACCTACGGACAATTTAGAATCACCAATTAACCTCAGCATGTTTTTGGACTGTGTAAGGAAGCTGGAGAACCCGGAGAGAACCCACGCTGCACGGGGAGAACATGCAAACTCCATGCAGAAAGATCCCGGGTGTCCTCACCGGGACACGAACCGGTGACCTTCTTGCTGCGAGGCAGCGGTGCTAACCACTGATCCACCTTGCAGCCTCATCCTAGCCCCTTGTAGGAGTAATAACAGCTCTATTCTCCTCTGTTCTATCCTGTTCTTGAGCCACTGAGTACATTTAAATCAAGCAAAGCAAATGACCGAGGATTCACATCATGCCTGTTTTGCACTCCCTGCACTGGCTCCCCATGAAATTTCGAATAGATTTTAAAATTCTAGTTATGACTTTTAGAGCCTTGCATGGCCAGGCCCCTACATATGTCTGTGATCTGCTGTGCCCCTACTCCTCTGGTCGCACCCTTCGGTCCTCGGGCCAGAACCTCCTCATGGTCCCAAAGACCCACTTTAAAACCAGAGGTGACTTGTCCTTTCAGGCTGTTGCTCCTAAATTGTGGAATGCCCTTCCTCAGTCCCTCCGTGAAACAAATTCTGTTGATTCGTTTAAAAAGCAGCTGAAGACACATTTGTTTAGACAAGTTTTTAGTTGATAGGATTTCTGTTGGCTTGCTTTTTATCTTCATTATGTGCCCTATACTGTTTATATTATTTTGTCTTGTGTGAAGCACTTTGTGATTTTATTCTGTGAAAGGTGCTATATAAATAAAGTTCTTCTTCTTCTTCTTCCCTGTCCGTTTCCAGCTCTGTCTCAGTGCGTGGAAGCCTTCGACGTGCTGCTGACAGGTCCAGTGTCCGAGTACCTGAACAACAGCCGAGCCATAGGGAGCGAGGTGGAGAAGCACGTAAGTCTTCGCCGCAGATAATCACAGCAGAAAATCCCAGCAGAAAATCCCACACAAAAGTTGGCCTGTGAGTAATGAGTCGCTCGCAGACGCACACCTGTTCATGCGCCAGCAGCTGCTGTAGGCAGATGTTGCCACAGCTGCCGCGGTAGCGATCCGCAGTTTCAGTATAAGCTGGTTTGTCTGTGTGTTGTTTGCCAAAGAAACTATTAATCATGCTTTAAGGGGGAACTGTGTGAATTGTAATACCAAATTCAGTTCATTTGTCTTTTGTTGCATCTAAACTTACCTCTTTATCCCTAAAACATAAATCCTCAGCTCACTTTTACCTCAGCAAAACTAACAGTGCAGATGCTGCCCCTGATTTTGAGAAATCTTTTCTATTTACTAAATAACTTGAAGAGTAGCTTGATATTTTGGGAAATACACATATTTATTTAGCCAGTTAGCTTAGCTTAGCACACAAACTATCCAAAGGCAACAACATCCACCTTTCAGCACCTCTAAAGCTCACTTTTTTAACAACTTCTCCAGCTACACTTTTACTATACAGACATGAGAATGATACCAATCTCCTCATCTCGCTCTCTCCAACAAGGAGTCTGACAACCCTCTAAATGTGCATCTACTAATTCTACGCCTGATTTATGCTTTGCTGTGAAGGCAGATTGTGCAAAGCTCTTCAGAATGACCCGCCCTCCTCTCTGAAACGAGCACTGTTGGACATAGCGGAGCCAGCACTGATTTTCTTTCGTTGCCAACCTTCATCTCACTGGATGCAAATTTATAAACAAACAGGATTGTCTTCCTCTAGATTCCACTGAGATAAGCATTGCTGTGGAAAACTGAGGGATAGTAAGGAGTGTATGGGAGGTCCCAAAGCAGCCGAGCAGTATGTGCATGTGTGTTTTTGATAGCAAAGGTTTCCTGTCCTCCACAAAGCCAAGGATGGGAGTATGATTGACCTTTGACCTTCCATTCATTTATCAAACTGCTCGTGAAGCACCTTTTCCTATTTGGTAATGACCCATACTCCCACTAGGCCTGCAAGAGAGTTTAATGGTAAGCCAGTTGGCAATAATAGCTGCGTTATGTCCTTGGAAAACATCCAGAACAACAGCGAGAGAGCTCCAAAACAGAGGAGTAAATCCAGTCAGAAAGAAACTTCCCTGAACAAACCAGAATGCTTGTGTTTCCTCTGTACCTTGAAAGACGATTTCTATCTCTGTGTCCCATCACTGAACGAAGTGGAGGAGGGGAGTGTGTGAGCGAGCGAGAGCCAGAGGTGGTTTCTTTAGGTTTGTAGAGCTCCTTTTATGGACAAAGGCTCCTTGGTGGTTCCCTCGGCCTGAACTGGAGGTCTGAGACACACTCAGGACACGGCTGGCTGGAACCAACCCAGACCCTGTGTGTTTGTGTGGATGTGTGTGTCGCGCAGACAGATTCACTGCATGGATTTTAGTAGCCAAGAGAACCTGATAAACAGCCTCTGCGAAAGTCAAAGCGTGTTTTTGTCAGAGCGCTCAACATTGTGTGTGCTCTACGCTGCAGTGACAATAAAACATGACATGAAACCAGCCTGACTTTGCTCTCTGTGACTGACAGGCAGAGATGGTGAACAAGGCCCTGCAGACTCAGAGAACTTTCCTCAAGATGGCTTCCACACACCAGGAACCTGCACAGGTACAACAACAGACAGTTACCATGGAAACCAACTGATGATGTGACAGAATGAATGCTTCTTACACTACATTTTTTAATTGGCTGTCAGGATCATTATCAGAAACATGCCTAAATGCTACACTAACGGGCAGCTGTGGCTGAGGCGGTAGATCAAGTCGGTCAATGATTGGAAGGTCGGCAATTCGATTCTGCCCTGAAACCTGTGTCATGGTTGTTGGGCAAGACACTCCACCCACCTCGCCTGGTGTGAATGGATTGTTTGAGGTGGTGGTCGGAGGGCAGAATGGCTGCCATGCCTCTGTCAGTCTGATCAATTGTTATTATTACTACCCCACTGTGAACTCTAAAACCTGCTGCTGGGTTGAAAGGCATGCTATCTTTAAAACAATTACCAGAATGACACTACTCATCATATCCAGAAACTGTAAAAACACAAAGAATAGTTACATTTTCACATTTCCAGTGGTCGTTGTACTACTCATATATACAGACAGTCAGGAAAATGATCCATGTCCAAGCTTAAAACTGTTATTTTTAACCAAAATTACTTTATTCTACAACGTCTCATTTGAAAATTCTGCAAAACAAATTGTCTGCATCATACAGAAAAACACAAAAACTTGGCTCTCCTCTGCACAACGGAGGGGAAGTCATTAGTGACTCAGCTCGGACCAACATAGATTTCACAAAAATTCATCAACGTTTCTCTGGAGCTGCAGGCTGCTTAAACAGAGCAGAGAGGAGGTCGAAAAAAATGAAAAATGTAAGTAGTAAAATGTCTGGTATGGAGGGTTGCCATTTTTTTCCAGTATTGGCAACCCCTTCCAGGAAAAATGTATATGTTGAATTCATGTTTTTTTTCCAGCTGTTTTAAAATGTGGGAATTAAATATTTGCTTTTTATAATTTATGGCTTTATAACTGTGCAATATTACACAGAAGACACTTTTGAATTCTCTCTGCTTATGCTGTTTCCACAGATATGTGCAGCACTTTGTAGTAAAAGTGTGACAGGAGCGAATAAAACACAGAGAGTTGAGAAGGTTAAATAAAACTAAACAGTACATTCCAATTCAGTTGCCAGTTGCATATATTTATACAACTATACTGTTAACTGGAGCTAAACTTTGTGACGTCAAGACTTCTGCTTCCCTGCAGCCAACAGTAACAGATATTTAATGATTTACTCTCAGCTGTTAACAGTTCAAGTGACTTTACTACTTATCACACTGCTGTTATGGTCGTTTTCCTTATTAATTGCAGTAGAATTAGAGGTAGCGTCACCATGTGACTTGATGCTGCCCATGTGATTGGCTTTTGCTGCCTGAGCTGCACAAAACTACGGCAGTAAACTGGAGTGAGTCGACTTCGGTCCGGTTCTCACGACTTTCAAACACAAATCGCATCAAGTATTTCACATTAACCAGCAGCCCAGCAGAGACATAAACTGTATCTCAGTGGTGTGTGTCAGCCTCCCCTCCTGTGTTCCCCAGCAGGCCGGCCTGTTCACAGAGGGATTACTCTGCTCTTTGACCAAGAAAACGCTAATACAACACATTCCCAACATGTTCACGTATAGAGAAAAGGGGGGTGGGAAAGAAAGCTGTGTGTGTGTGTGTGTGAGAGAGAGAATCGATATGATATCATCACATTGGCCTTCTGTTTGTGTTGTGTGTGTGTGTGTGTGTGTGTGTGTGTGTGTGTGTGTGTGTGTGTGAGCCCACCAGGAAGTGATTACTCCCTGTCTGTCAGGTCATTGGTTATGAGGCGGTGAAAAGAGCATTCAGTGATAGGCAGAAATGCAAACAAGGAAGGAGAGAGAGACCCAGGAGAGGGGCGGGGTGACGGGCAGGAGGGAAGAGGAGGTGGAATTCAGCATCATTGGCTAAATCCAAAACAAAACACGGAAAATAGGAAAGAAAAGGTTCATGAACTGCCATTGACTCTTTTCAAACCGGGGCCAAAGTCATCGGCAACAATGCTGCCAGGAGAATTGATCTCCCCACACCCAACCTGTCAGAGGCCGACTGTAAGGCCGTCAGCGGGAATGCAGCACACACTCAGTCATTACTGCCCTCTGGGTGCAGGAGCAGGACCCTGAGGTGCAGAGAGGTGCACTCTTTGGCAAAAGCTTGTTCCCCACAGCCACAGCGGGTGACCCCTACACGTTTTGTGTTTTGTGAGATAATGTGTGTAAAGGTGCTCTGACACAGATCTTCTACCCAGCGACCATAAAGTCTAATTTTGCCTCATCCAAGTAAGAGCTTCTTCCTCTGTTCTGCCTCTAATGAGCTTATTTCTACTGATTAATCTATCGACTATTTTACCAATCGATTGGTTGATTTAAATTTCCTCCAAAAAAGCAAATTTGTTAATTATTTAAGTTCATTTTACTTTGACAAACTCTACATCGTTGCATAATGCCGCACAGTGAAATGTAAACAAAGGTTCACATTTCAAAGTGCAAAGAGTGAAACTGGTCATTCCAGCGTGATGACAACAAATGAAAAAGAGGTCTTATAATTAAAGTCAGTGGTGGGACTGCAGTAGAAATCCAAGTTTGTGTCGAATCCTTTCACAAAGTGAAAAAGAACGATCTGTATATTAAACAAAGTGGTAAGCAGTTCCATACTCTGAAGCCTTATGTCTCTGAAAACATTTAACTGAGCTGTAAAACTGTAACTCTGTCAGCAAGCTGACCAATGCCTGGAGCCAAAAATGACAGACATCATAATGCAACGACTACATGGTGATATTAAAAAAACATTTATTGTAATAAAGTTAAAAAAAAAACAAAAAAAAACAGTAAAACATGGTACAAAGCTGAACTTTGAGGCAAAAACTTCTGAGTCTTAAGGTGCAAATTGGGAAAACCAGAAGTATTGCATTTTGCTGCATAGCTATTGTGACGGCCTAGTGTCAGCTGCTGCCATGGAGGCCTAGAATTCCATTTACCTGTGGGTCCCTGAAGGCATCAGGACGGCCCATAAAGTTCAGACGTCCCTCTCTTGCTTTCTCTCTCATTCATTCTGACCCGGCTTCGTTGGTGATGACACATCTTTCTCTGTTACCTTTTTGCTTTGTTTCTGCGCCACAACACCTCACATCCCATCATGTTCACTCATTCACACCCACGCTACTGATACTACTGATAGTCACACGCCATACTTATTATTATTTGTTAAATGGTTTGCTTTTGGTTATGATAAATATCCTTGCTTTGAGTTCAATCTGTGCTCCTTGCCATATTTGTTATAACCCACGAGCCAGGTTATGACACTATGTACAGCTGTTATGTATTTTTAATAGCGAATGTTCAGGTTTTCAGCAAGAAAAGATGAAACACAGTAAAGAGCAGCAACATATATCTTAAGTCTTGTTCCACTTTCATGTCAAATCAAATAAAGTTTATTGTCATTTTACTGTACATACACAGTAGTACAGGCAAGATGAGAGAACGTTTCTTCAGGATTATTCAACCAGCAAGTTTTGCAGAATGCACGTCTGGGATAAGACACTAAACGTTCGCTGTCACTGCTTCCTGAAGGGGGCGCTGCGTCCATGCACGTCACCGTTCATTGAACATGATGAACCTCTTCAGGTCCTGGTAGGTCTTCAGGGACACAAAGACACACACGATGGTGTGACGATGGTGAAGCTGCAGATGCTGCCCAGAGCTAGCTGTCTGGCTGTCCGCTCAGAATAATGTCGTCCCCTCCAACTGTATGTCCGTCTGGGATGTTGTCATGGAGCCACGTTTCTGTAAAACATAGCTCGTCCAGCTTGTTGTCGAGAAAGCGGACATTGGAGAGTAGGAGCGACGGTCCTGCTGGTCTGGAGGGGTTAGCCTTTAGCCTAACATGGATCTCCCTCCTCCTCCTCTTCCTCCTCCTTTGCTTACGTTCGTACTGCTTCCTTCTCTCTTGGGCAACTGCCGGCGTAGTCTCCGATCGGACTCCGTGTTGGTGTAGTATGTCCACATCACAACTGATTGCCACAATTCCAGCACCGTTCACTGTCCTGACGCCCAGCAAAGTCTCCCGGCCGCAAGTTTTGCGGATTGAACATCTGGGATAGACAAGACACTCAAAACGTTCACCTTCGTTGTCTCCTGAAGTGGCCGCATATGTCATATGAGATCATTAGATGAGGAAGACTCTGATGTCTAACATGCATTGACCATATTACACCATATCCCCTGAATTTAGGTGAACAGCAGACGTTGGTTGATGTGACACGTCCGCCCTTGTTGAACTTTTTGGACACTTTTGCTTCAGTCCCACCGGCACAGTCAAATACACCCGTCTAGCTTATCATCTTTAGCTCAGGCAAGTGGAACTCAGGCTGTTGTAGCTTGAAAAGGTTGAGACATCAGCACACTATGCGCAGTAAACATGACCTAAAAACCTTTCGATGCACACACACACACACACACACACCAAGTACCTGCACACACAAACCACCACTAGAAAGCCCTCTCCCAAAAAAAAACACAAACACACACGACCTCCATCATTCATGTCTATATCTGTAGTCCTCAGTGCAGATGTAGAAGACTATGTGTGACTCTCTCTCTCTCACACACACACACACACACACACACGGCTCACAAACTTCTGGTCTTTCTCTCGAGCGCAGCCTTGTTGTGCTGCCTGACTTTTTATGGGCATGTTCTATATTTGAGCCTGTTGTCAGTGTGTGTGTGAGTTAGACAAAGGGAGAGAGAGCCAGAGAAAGTGGGCGTCTCTCTCCCATGTGACCTCGGCCTGGCCTGTTAACTCCGGTGTGTGCGATTGTGTGCGATTGTGTTGCTGGTTGTTGCGGTTCACACACACACACACACACACACACGGTGGACTTCCACAGCGTTAGAAACCCTCCTCCAGCTGTTCTCCCATTGTCGTCCTTCACTCTCCACCTTTGATCCGGTGCTTGTATAGGAAGTCAAGGCCTATGCTGTTACAACACACCGAGCTCAGTCCATCAAATGATGCGAGCCGACGTTTTTGATCTTTTTTTTTCGCTGGCTCATTCTCTCTCCGTCTGTGTTCACAACTCATAAAACCCACATCTCTGCCTCAGTTGACTCCTTATCAGTGTAATCATTTGTACATTGTATGTTGAAAAATTAAAAGGTTTTTCTCTTGCGTAGCCTGATTTGACTGAATCGTCCTTTTTGCTCCAGGCAGGATCAAAGCAAACGGTCTGCTTGGTGTATTTTTTCATACTTCTGGAAAAAGTCAGATCAGCTGTTTCTTCTTTTCCCACAATGGCAACAGCTGAACTGATAATTCCACTTTCAGTTACCAGACAAAGGAACTCCAAATGCAAAATGATACAAATGTAATCAATAACAATAATGTTTGATTGTTTTTGATTAGAGACAAGTTAATGATTCAGTGTTAATAATTCACTTATTGGTGTTTCAGGAACTCTGTAAAAAACAAAATAAAACAAAAATAAAATTTGTAATTTAATTAAACTTTTTCATTTTATAGATTTTTGTCAGTATTTTTGAAATCCACAAAAATATCAATAAAAATACAAAAACACACAGTCAATTCATAAGTCTAATGTTAAATACCAAAATAATTATTTAAAAAAAAAACTGTAACTGTGAATAACCATACAATTACAATATATTTAAAGACAATTAAATATTTGACATTTTAAGAATATTTTTAAACCATTTTTGATCCTAATTTCACAGATATTTAATCTATATTTATTCAATAAAACTGTTAAATTTAAGTTTAATCCTGTGAATATATTTCTAAAAATAGATTAATTAAAAGAAAATATTTCTTTTTCTTCTTCTTCTTCTTACTATTATTATTATTATTATTATTATTATTATTATTATTATTATTATTATTGTGGATGATTTAATTGTTTTAACATATGTAAATATCCCTCAATAAACTTGTGCAAAATTAAGGCTAGAAAATGTGATTTAATTATGTAAAATTACTGTATTCTTATTTGGTGGTTATTTTATCTTATTTTTTTGTATATTTTAGTATGTGCCCTAGCTGCCAGAAAAGTATATACATATATACATATACATATATATATATATATATCAATTAGTAGCTGTTCTAATGCATACTAGATACTGCAAATTTCCATTTCAGTGATATAATTCATGATGTAGTCAGAGCGTCTCACCAGCACCTTCTCACAGCTGCTCAACATAATAACAGTAAATGTGCAAAAGAAGTGTAGATTCACCTGTCAGCAGTGTAGATGCCTCCAATATAGCAGAAATAGATTTTTTTGTTTCATTTGTTGCTCCTGAGCTAGAAAAACAGTGTCTCCAGATCCCATGTTGACATGATTCCAATGCAGAAATTTGCCAACAGTTCAAAGTGCATGTGGGAATTTGGCTTTTGTTTTCCTTTTCTAACACAGTAAGTCCTCTGTGTACCTGCCAGTCATTCTTTCTCATACTAAGTGTTTCTCCTCAGTGAGCTGCATGATTGAATGAGGGGAAGTCCACAATCTGACGGAGGCTCTGACTCACAGAATACAAGTCATACTTTCACTCTGAGCGCTGATGACGACGTTGTTGTTGTTCTGCAGTGTAACGGGAGCCAAACAGCTCAAAGTAACACGGATAGATATTCATGTTGCTTGCAGTAATAATAATGATCCTATAACACAACAATCTAACACTCAGAGAGCGGCTGTTTTTCTACCCTTTAAATACATCTTCCATTGCTCATTATGTTTTTATGACAAACATAGAGTCAGGTGATTAACAACATACAGTTAAATGCAGAAAATACAGATAGCAGCTGCAAACTTCATCCCCAAATGTGGCTTGTTACCTTCAATCCTTCCTGCAGTACCGCTCAGCAAACATCCCTGTGTGCTGCAGTATGGTATCTGTTTTGGAAAAGGAGGAGATATAATGCTTCAAAGACAGTTATTATGTGGACTTAGTGAGAATAAAAGCAGCTGGTGGAGCAGAGAAAGGGGCTTCTATCTGGGCTTATTGAGATCATGTGCATCTGATTGGGGGAAGAATTTGTTGGAGGAAAGAAAAAAATACTGCTGTTTTTTATGGCTGCTCCGCACGCAGGCATTAAATTCTTAAAGGTGATATAAGTAATGTTTTCATATCAAGCATCCTCGCACCCCCACACCTGCGTATCCTGTGTAGTGGTGGGATGTAACTAAGTACTTTTATTCAAGTACTGTACTCTTTTTTGTTTTCATGCCACATTCTTCTTCAATAATATTTATCTGACAGCTTTAATTATGTTAAAAAATGCTGATTTTTGCACACAAAACATATTAAAAAACGTATTAACTGCTGCGTTTTGTTATAAATCAGCCATTTTGATTATAGTTTCCGGCACTTATGGTTGCATTTTTCACTATTTTCAGACTTTTTCCAAACAATAAACCGATAAACTGAATAAGCATGAGATGAAACATAATGAAAATAAGTTTGTTGAGCTTCACCTCAACAAATTACAACAGTAAAATCCTGTTATTACATTAATGCACAAGTAATAACAATGTAATGACATAATATATCAGTTATAACATTACAGGGTGCATTTTTCTGCATTGACTACTTTTACTGTTACGTTTTTAAATAAATGTTTTAGATATCAACATTGTCAGTGTAGGACTCTTCCTGCTAACAGAGTACTTTTACAGAGCACTATTAGTACTTTTACTCCAGTAAAGAATGTGAGTATTTCCTCTACCACCGATCCTACACCAAGAATACAGAGGAAATAAACCTTACAGTACATGTTCAGTGATTTATTAGGTGTATATCATATTGTCTTATCTTATCACCACCAGCTCCTTCAATACCAGACCAGTGCTCTGCTGTTTGTTCATCAGCTTCTCATCTGAATACAGAAACTATTTTGTCACAGCTCGTCAACGGCAAAACTTTCACATTACATTCACTTCACTGCAGATCAACAACAACAACAAAAAAAAAAAGCTTCAGCGACAATTCACAAATGAAACGCTGCATTCCCGGATCTATGCAAGCGCAGGCACATGTGTGATTGGTAAACTGTAAACAGTGGAGGAGCGGGACGCCTTACAAGGCCAGAGGGATCTCCCCATGAACTGAGGAATGTCTGAAGGAGGCTGAGCGGCGGGGAGGGGAGCTGGGAGCTGGGAGCTGGGAGACGAGCTATACTGTAGCTGAGATCTGGAAGTTCCAATGGAAAAAGGCTCTGGCACGTAAAATTAGATGCAGCCCAGTTTAGGAATTATTGGATGGCACCGAGAGTGGGACGGGTGCCGCTGGGCAGGGAAACAGAGCTCAGGTTGTAAAATCAAATCATGTTTAACAGAATCCTGCATGTAAACCGAAGGTCTCAGTGAGGTCTTCCACTGAACAAGTAATTCGATTGAAATGTAATTTGAAGTTTTGAACCTGATGCCCTCCCTTCTGATGCCCCCTCTTCTCCTGCATCCCTCTGCTGCTCCTGCAGACGGAGCTCCGTGACCTGCTGAAGCCCATTTCAGATCACATCCAGGAGATCCAGAGCTTCAGGGAACGAAACCGCGGCAGCAACCTCTTCAACCACCTTTCGGCCGTCAGCGAGAGCATCCCCGCTCTGGGCTGGGTGGCTGTGGTAAGGACGAATAAAACATGGAGAAGATAGGTTAAAGGAACTTATGGAAGCACAAATGCATACAAACAGATACTCCTCATGATGATGTGTAAATCTTTGCAATATGTCTTTGATATATAGTCTAGATGTTAACGAAAAATCACATTAACAATTGGATAAACACAAATTATTATTTTAGAAATGCACCGGACAACCAGATCTACACTTAAGCAGAGCTTCAAATCAAAATGCATAAACATCCGAGCATCCAGTCAGATACTGCTAGTATAAATAAACTCGGCCCTCCGTGTTTTTCTCCCTCCAACATGCAGTATTTCTGTTTCCCATCAATACAAAATCTCTCCTTCTGAGTTCAGGATGAATATCATTTAGATTAAGATCAAAGCTCCTTTTTCTTCAGTAATTGAATAAAAATCTTTGAAGCTGGTTCTGTTCTGTGTAAGATGCTGTCAGGAGTTCAGTTCCCCCCCCCCCCTGCATGAAGCAACCCAAACCTTCAAGATGTCACTATCTTCTTTTTACTCCCAGATGAGGATAAACCTGCAGGGAGTTTATACGTCTGAAAAGTGTTTCTAATGAAGGTGCATCTTTCCTTGTGACAGAGTCAGAAACCAGGTCCCTATGTGAAGGAGATGAACGATGCCGCCACCTTCTACACCAACAGAGTGCTGAAGGACTACAAGGAAACGTAAATATGTTGAGAAGGGTTATTTTTGTGTGTGTGTTTGACAGTGAAAAGGACAAAGACAAAGAAGGAGGGGAATCTCACGCAATTGAAAATCCCTGACTGGGATCCAGCTGAGAATGTTGCAATTTCAGTATTTGATATGGATCACTGTGCCAAGTAACCTAAATTGTGCTAAAATTCCAATTTTATGAACTCAGAGTTTAAATGTAATTGTCTTAATTTGCTAACTTTGACCAAAGCACTTTTGAAATCGTATGAAGCAACAACTTTAAAAGTAACAAAAATGAAACTGGGATGATACACGTTGACTCTCTTTGCGTGAGTTAAATGAAAAAAATGGTACCACTGTCATGTCCCTGTGGTGAATATTAAGTCTTTGCTCGCAGCCAGTTAGCTTAGCTTAGTTCCAAGACAGAAAACAGGAGTAAACAGCTGGTCAGGGTTTGTTTTTTTAAATTTTTTTATAGCTAACAAAATGTGTGCGCACAAAAACTGAAGTGTGAGAATGACACATACGGGTTTTACGGGGGATTGTGTGCCAAACTATTTCTCAAAAGAGCAAATGACATCATCAACACTTGTGATTAGGTAAATAACTTTAAATGTTACAACAAAAGCTGCCTTTTACAACATAGCTGACTTGTTTGTTAAAACTGAAAGAGGAATCCAGGAAGAAGCATTTTGCATAGTTTCAGACAGAGAGCCAAGTGCATTTCAAAGGCTGTTAGCAGAGCTGGATGTACCAAATGTAATTACTCCAGTTTTGTTTTCATTTACTTTAACGAGATATCTTGCAATCTTGCCATTTTGTGACAGGTGGTATCATGTTTAAAAAAATGTAAACAACGAGCAGCTTGTATAGAGAAAATAAGGTAGGACCTAAGATGGAGCCCTGGGGGATGCCACATTTAAATGGAGCAGAGAAAAGATGAACAGTTGCCTATTCTGACTATGATGTTTCTGATAGGAGGTCATCCAGTTCAACGCTGTACTCTGGAGACAAGCTTCACACTTTTGCCCTTTTTAGAGAACATCATGGTCAACAGTGTGAAATGAAATAGAATGAGACCCAGATTTAACGAACAAGAGGATGTTGTCAGAGTCAGAGCTTTAAAACCAGACTTGAATTTGTCATGGGTTTTAAATGTATTCAAACAGGACCTTTTTCTGAGATCGTGAAGATAATTTTTTGCTTAGAGATGAATCTGGAGTTATTTCTGCTCAACAATAAAAGTATTATGTTCTTGATTGTAAGTGCTGACAAACTAGTTTGTTATTTTGTGAGTTTTTGGGACAGCACCGATCACTCTATGGGGATTTTTAAGTCAAGCATGACAGTTCTTTTGTTTGAGAAGCCAAACTGTTTCTTGGCCAGGAGAAGGGACTTCCTGGAGCTTTGCTATCCTGGCAACCTTAGCTCAATAACTTCATCAAGCTTTTGCTGAACAACCACAAGTGGTATCTACTTTTTCTCACATTCAACAAGAAAGCCACTGATCAAACTAGTCCTTTAACACCTTCTGCCCACCTGTGAGGTAACTGCAAAATGTTGCACCTTTGCTGATTTTGTAGATGTTGTTCGAGCTCCTTTGTTACTATCCATCCTCGTACCCAAACCTCCATTCCCTGCTGCTATCTGACCATCATATCTTTGTGTCCACCTCCCTCCCCAGTGACAGACGTCATGTGGAGTGGGTTCGCTCCTACCTGTCCATCTGGACCGACATGCAGTCGTTCATCAAACAGCACCACACAACCGGACTGGTGTGGAGCAAGAGTGTGAGTACACGAACAAAAATAAGCTTTTTTAAATTAAGCTGACTTAATTTATGCACACCATCCTCTCAAACATGTGCCTGAAAACAACAAATCACTCCTGTAGCAGCTTGGTTTATTATCTTAGCTGTGTTTTCACTTAGCTGCCGTTTGCAGGGCCTTGATATTTTTATATCAGCTCAAATTCACTTCTACTTTTTTGCGCACACTTCCATTTTTAGTTATGGAGCAGCCAGTTACATAAACCGCTGCAGAGAGCATGAATGAATGAATGAGCTTCTCCTCGGTGGCTGCACACCGCAGTTCTCTATAGAGCTCGCAAACCCTCTGTCACTCCCACACACTTCTGTTTATGGATGTCTGCTCAGGGACTCCTCCTCGGCACTCAACCTCAGCAGATCCCCGAGATTATGATGGCTCGAAACCAAAGCCTTTAACCAACACTTGACTTCTCTTTCTTGTCAGTTGGAGGGGTTTCTTGTCTTTTTTCACTCATACAACTTTCTGTAAGGAATTGTCGATCTCATGGGGAAACACAACTGTATATGTTTTATCTGTGCTCTAACTATGGAGCTACAACCTGGAGATGGTTAGATTAGCTTAGCTTAGCATAAAGACTGTAAATAAATGGAAACAGCTAGCATGGCTTGGTCAGAAGATACAAAAATTCCAGTGGAAGTTGCTTTTTTCAGGCTGGAAAATAGCTCACAGCACCCCATAAATCCATAATGTGCCATTTTTACACTTAGGTTTTTGTATGGGTTAAACAACTGAGATAAACTGTGTTCCTCACTGAGCTTCAGAGGTGCCGTTCAGAGGATTGTGTTCCCTCTGGACACAGCCAGGGCAGCTGCTTTCTCCTGTCTCCAGTCTTTATTCTAAGCGAAGCTAACTGTCGCCTGACATGAGAGTCTATCAATCTCCCATCTATTCTCGGCACGAAAGCCAATAAGCACATGTCCCAAAAGGTTGAACTTTTCCTTTAATGTGACATGATCAGATGAAAACCTAACTGATGCTCAACAACTGTGCCCACATGTGTGTGTGTGTTTTGGGGTTTTTTTTGCACATAGAAACTCGAGATCCCGCAGTGGCTGTGTGTGTCAGCTGTTGCCCCTGCTGTCGGGCGACGGGGCTGATGTGTGTGCGTGAGGGACGCTGTGTGTGCGCGTACAAGGACGGGAGTGTGTTGTGCTAACAGGTGGTCCTCAGGGTTTACTTGAATGGAGGTTTTCTTTACAGAAGGACCCCGACAAAGGGCCTGTGTACACACACAGCCTGCGCCGTAACTTAAACTGCAGGGCTGGTCCCTCTCCTCAGCGCAGCCGTCATCTGCTGCTCAGATAGGAGTTCAGTGACAAGCTTATAGTCTGACACGTACAGCCTGACATATGGACGCATGTGTACGCACGCAGACGCACTGAGAGTCGCATTGGTTCTTTCAGACTGGACTCAGGGCAAAAAGGGAAGTTAAAATTTAGTAAAGTATGTGTAAAATGAAAAACATGATGGTAAATAGCATCTGTCAATCAGGATTATTCTAGTAAATGACACACTTTGAATAGTTTTAGTCAGAGAGCTGCCAAACATTTGGTCTAGATTGTGGGCTTACCGAGAACCAGCATCAGGCCTGCGGACAAGAAGTATGTTCTGGATGAGACAAGTGAAAGGACTTTTGACTGCAAAACAGCGTAACACACATTTCATTTTTGATATGCTAATTATTTTCTCAATATCCAGTAATAAAACCTGTAAAATATCTTAAACAACCAGCCTTCGAATTGCTTGCCTTTCTGACCAGCATATTTATTTTATTGCCCCATACTGGAGAAAAAAAAGGAGCAAATTCATATATTTAAAAACTGGAATAAAAGAATACCCACAATTCAGAGGCTTTTTTTTTCTTGAAAATGACATACATGATTAACTGATTATTAAAATAGCTGCATATTACTTTTACTTTCTGTCTAACAACTGATTAATTGCTTTACCTACAGTCATAAATGTCTGATTTTCACTTGTATTAATTTCATTCCAGTGAAACAGGTTATTTGGCTAAAAGCAGGCCTCAAAATTTACACAAAAAAGCACATTTTTTCCTCCCTCCTTAATGTTTGTGTACACACACAAATGCACAAACCCACAAGACGTGAACACAAAGAGGTAGTCAGACAGTTTTACAGCCGTGCGTGAACACACACACACACACACATGCTGGTTCTAATCCAGTGGTATGCGCTGAGCTGTTTAGTGTAACAGGTCTGCATTGTTCAGCAACGACATGCACAACACATGTGCCTCGTGTCAAAGGTCAAGTCTCAGCGCTCAGAAACGCATTAAGTGACAGTCCAGCCCTCTGAACTCCTGCAGTAAGTGCGTCTCTGGCAGCTGTGCAGGGGCTTCAGAAAGTGTCTGTCCGCTTTAGTTTTACTGTATGCAGCTCAGCAGTTAAACCGCGGCTGGTAATTATTATAAACACATCAAGCTTCATTACGGGACCTGATTAACTTCATTACAACCTCAGACTGTCGAGCCAAACTTTGTTCAAACACGTAGAACTGTATTTTAAATGGTAAGGGAGGAGCCAAAGTTCCCAAAGAGAACAAGAGGGATTTTTTGTGTGTATAAAATTGTATACGATAATACTGCTGTTTGACAAAATGGTGCAATGGTGGAGTTCCAAGAAAACACGGCATGTAATTGTGTGGCACAAAGAGTGGAGTAAAATGGAAAAACTGAAATTCAAGAATTACTTGGCCTTAAAAGTAAGTGTTTCTGTATGTATCTATATGTCGTCAAGGCAAACCACACTCCCCATAAAAAGACATCAAAATTACCACCATGCTGCAAGATATTTCTTGTTCAATACTCCCCCTGCTGGAAATATGTATTACTACATCTGTCATCCACTGAACCCCTGTCTGGTCTGTCTTTTCTCTCATCAAAAGCTCACAAACTTAAAATGCTGCTCTCTAAATTGAGGTTTCCTTCGTCTCCCAGGGCCCGATTGCGCCTTCTTCTCTCCTTGACTCCCCCCCGGCCCCCAGTGCTCCCTGTCCACCGCCTCCCCCTCCTCCCCCCGGACCTCCTCCGGTCTTCACCGATGACGACTCCAAGCCTCAGACAGACAGTGCAGCAGCTCAGCACTCTGCGCTGTTCGCCCAACTCAACCAGGGCATGGACATCACTAAAGGTGGGTCCACCGTGGGGCCGGAGAACGATGATAAAGAGCAGAGGACCATTTCTACTTGACTTAATTTTTTTTAAATGCTCAGGTAGCTCTGGTAACTAAGACTCGTGACATCTCCTAATAGCCTTGTATGGTTCTTCTTCATTCTTTCCACCTGTAGGTCTGAAGCATGTCTCGGATGACCAGAAGACCCACAAGAACCCCAACATGCGCCCTCAGACGGCAACTCCTAAAAGCAAAAAACCCGGAGCTGTGAACTCACCTAGGCCGGCTGCCCAGAAGAAACCCCCTCTGCTGGAGCTGGAGGGGAAGAAGTGGAGAGTGGTGAGTTAAAACGTCCTCTTCGTTCACAGAATATTTGGAATTAAATTAGACCTATGATTTCATTGATGACTTCATTTATATTGTACTTGCATTTGTTTACCTGCTTATCATATTTTTAATCCAGGTCAGATCATTACTAATATGTGTCACAGGTTATTCTTAAAACATGTTCCCTTGTTGTTGCAGGAAAACTTTGAGCAGACGCATGACCTGGTGATTGATGACACGGAGCTGAAACAGGTTGTGTACGTCTTCAGCTGCAACAACTCCACCGTGCAGGTTAAAGGCAAAATGAACTCCATCATCATAGGTGAGCTGCCTGCAAACGGAGCTGAAGTCACAGGTTTTGGGCTTAAATTCAAATGAACTAGTGATGCACGATATTAAAATTTCTGGCCGATACCGATATTAAGATTTCTGATATTGCCGATAACTAATATTACCGATGTTGATGTTCAATTTTTGTTCACTTTGAAAAATGAGCATAAGTAAGCACTGTGAGAACGTGAAAACTATTCAGAAGAAGCCCAAATTAGACCACATAGTCTTCTTTATTACGTAATAAAAGTAAAACACATTTAAACACATTTAACGTTCAAGTCCAGGACCATTTAGGTAAAAACATCTGTGAAATAGCAGCAATATCAAATGTCGAGGCGCAGGCGCTAACGTTAGACAATCGTCGGTTTTGTTCATTTGTTCATCGGACCGATACCGATATATGGGAAAAACACTAATATCGGCCGATACCGATGTAGTCGCTGTTATATCGTGCATCCCTAATATTTACTGATGCTAATTTTCCTAATTTCAACTGTTTTCACTCTCATCAGACAACTGCAAGAAGCTGGGCCTGGTTTTTGAGAACGTTGTTGGGATTGTCGAGATCATCAACTCCAAAGCTATTCAGTTACAGGTAAGCAGATCAGAATCAGCAAAAAAAAAAAGGACCAAAACTCTCTCCACCTGGGCTACTGCTATAGCTCAACAGGTTGAGCTGGTGACCCACATACAGGGGCTGTAGTCCCCGATGCAGTGGCCATGGGTTCGAATCCTGCTCATGGCCCTTTGCTGCAAGTCCTTCCCCCACTTTCCTATATAATAAAGGCAAAAAACAAACTCTCTCCACCAACATGCTTGAGAGGGAAAAGCTTACAAAAGTTGCTAACAGAAAAAAGAGCAGAAGTGACTGCAACAGGCTGCATGCACGCTCATTCTCAAATATTTACAAAAAATACATGCACTAGCTCTTAAATCCACATATTCACGATCTTAGATTATAGTGATTCTAAATGAACTATGCCTCTTTTTTGATTGGCCAGTGTTCACAGTGTAGTCAAATCTCTGAATGTTTTTCTGTGATTGTGTTATTGTTTGCTGCATCAGTGCAGTAAATGTGAGACGTCTCTCCGCAGGTGTTGGGTACAGTTCCCACCATTTCCATCAACAAGACCGAGGGCTGCCAGGTCTACCTGAGCAAGGATTCCCTCAACTGCGACATCGTCAGCGCCAAGAGCTCCGAGATGAACATCCTGATACCAGAGGGAGAAGACGATTATGTGAGTGTCCGTTATAAAGATGAGTTCAATCTCTCTGCCCGTTCTGTCAATAGAAATAAGCTCAGGCATGTCAATTGAACATTTCTGATATTTTAAACTTCTTTGTTTGTTTTGCAGAGGGAGTTCCCGGTCCCGGAGCAGTACAAGACAGTTTGGAACGGCTCCAAACTGGTGACAGAACCAACAGAAATCGCAGGCTGATTGTAGCTTGAATCACCAGTAGACACAAATACTTCTATCCACCTGATGTCATTACTCAAATATACAAAAGGGAATTTTTAAGCAGGCACTGCATCCATTTAACTTTTAGTCCACTCCTTGTTGCTGTATTTGTGACTTCATGAGAGGTTTCTCAAGCACTTTGACCTAATCAGTAATAATCGCTGTCCTTATAACTCCACACTGTCGGTACTATAGGTGAGTCATAAAGTAGTCTAATCTCAGGTTTAAGTAACACAAACTTTTCTTTAAGAATATGTAGCTGCTGAGATTTCAGCATCCTCAAAATATTTTCTCTGTATATTTTAGGGTTATAACTATAATTACAACTGGCATTTATTGGTGAGTTTCTGTATATTAATACATTTTAAACAAAAGCACAACATATAGTTTTACAGGAAAACTAAAAAATTACATAACAAACACATACAACCTTCAGTGGCCAAGCAAACACGTCTATACGGTATATTTTCTATCTAATAAAGTGTATGTTAGTTACTTCTTTTAATGTGTATAGTGCATGGCAGTCATGTAGTAATTGTAAGTATTGATCTGCTTATTTTGCATTCATGGCTGCATTACACAGCATTCAGATGAATCAGCCCAGATGAATGTAAAAGGGTCTAATGTGCTGCAGTCGACATTAAATCAGCTGAACAAAATAATTAAATACCTAGTAATTTCTTTTATGTCATAACTAATGGGCTTCAGTGGTAACTTTCACACTTGATCACTTCTTCCTATTTCTATATCACAGTGTATACCACTCTGTTTTGTACTAAGATGCAGCACACGGCACCAGCATAGCACAGATAACAACGATCAACACTAATACTTTTCAAAAACTTTAATTTACATGAAAACCATTCATTGTAATTGTGTATCCTTTTTCAAATAAAGTCAAAACCCCCCAGTTGCGGCTTGTTAATTTTTATCTTGCATAAGAGAAGAAAAAAAAACACACCCACACACACATACAGGGAGAAACAACATGGCGAAAAGAAGTTCCAACAATGAAGGCAGAAAGACTAAAATCTCAGGATATGTACAAACGATCTACAGATGTGACAAAGACAATCACAGGAGTATTTAGTCAGGCTGATAAACTGCATCTCCAAATTGTGTATTTAAGAACAAAGATACTTCAGCTTTTCACCACCAACATCCACATTTGCTGGACTACATCCACACAGGAGGAGGTCTGGAATGTGTACGACATGTAAAAGCTGCTTTTCAGTGCTTGATGACAACGTTTCCTTGAGAGTCTTGAGTGAAGAGCATCTCGTCCTCCTCTTCCTCCTCCACCAGAGATCTATGAGCACTAGTTCTCACATTACTCTGATCTTTAAACGGACTCCTGGTTTGCAGACCTCTATGTGCGATCACCCTGAAGCCTTCAGAGTCCTGAGTAAACAACGTGGCCCAATTGTCCTCATCTTCCTCCCTGCTTCGCTGCTGCGCTGCTCGTTTTTTAAGAGGAGAGCTGCTTGGTTTCGTCCACTTAATCTGCGAGTCAAGAATGTCTTCTTTTGCAGACTTTTTCCACAGTTGGCTGATGTGTTTTCGAGGTGAAGCAACTTTTGGTTCTGTCCACTTATGATTAGAAAGAGGTCCGAAATAAGAGGACGGTGAGCGTTTAACTGGGGAATTACAAGACAGTGACCAGCTGTTTTCTTTCTCATCATCCATCTGAGAAGAATGAAGATGTTTAAAGGATTTTTGAGTTGAGGTTCTTCCTTCCACATCCCTCAGACCTCCAAAGTCCACCTCACTCTGTAGACTGTTAAGGAAACTTGGCTCAGAGCTGCTAAAACTCTTTGCTGCAGTGCATTCTTGGTTAGTTAGGTTAAATTCATCGTCATAATACTGGCTGTAGGTGAGCAGTGGGTCCTGACTCCACGCTTGTGGAAGAGGTTGACTTTCACCTGGCAATGAGGAGGCATCAGTGAGCCTCCTCTTACTCTGTGGTGGTTTACACTCCTCACGCCTCTCTTCTTCAGATTCATAGTTTTGTAGAGGAGAATGACTTGCTGTCTGCCTCTGCTGCAGCATTTCTTCCGTCTCTGTCACATTTTCATTTTTCCACTCATCATCCACAGCAGGCTCAGAGTCAGACTTTTCAAGATACATTTCACGTCCTCGTTTTCTCCCAGATGCTACAGTTGTGGATGTAGATGATGAAAAACACTGCACTGGATTGATGTCGGGCACTTCAGAAGTTGACATCTTATTGAGGACTTTTTGAAGAAAGAAGAAAGAAATAACAATATTTTAACACAAAATGTAATAATTCACTGCATCAGTTTGTAGTTAAGCAAGTCAACAGGCTACACCTTTATCAGCTTCAGACTGGCTTTCCTTAATATGACAATAATCCTTCCAGCAGAGTTTTACCACTTACCTCTTCGGTGAGGGGTGAAAAAGGTTGATATAGAGCTCTGTTTAGTCTTTGGCATTTCCATTTTGGTCTGAGTGAAGTTGAGTGCCACAGCTAAACTGTATCCTCCACCATTGGCCAAAGGATTCAGCAATTTAGAAATGGGGCGGGCAAAACGTTTCTGAAAAACAAGATGTGCAGAATAAAGTATTATCCATCCAGGTGCAGTAACAGAATAAGAGGCTATCAATAGGTATTTTAATAAATTAGTTCACTGCTGAATTGAAAGTTAATGAAGCAGCCATTTAACCATGTTTATAGCCTGTTTCCACATTTACCTGTTTAGCTTTTCCTTTCAGCTGCACAGTGTCCAGCCAAACACCACATTCCCCTTGATTGGAGGTCTGCTTTGCTGCTTTAGAGCCCTTCATAGTGGAGAATGTAGACTAGATCTGCAAAACATAAATAAATCATTTTGTGAATTGGGTAAACCAGACATGAATTAAAAGCAGAGTTTAGATGTATCAGAAGCTTATTGTACAAACAATTCTTTTGTCTCTATGTCAGCGGCAGCGTTTGGCTGGGCGTCCATGTGATAGCCCTGAATGTTTTAAAAAGCTTTGAATTTATTCATCTGTCATTCCCATCATGGACTACATCTCTCAAAAGTAGGATGATCTTGTTGTGCAATACAAGTAGCGTATGACATGGATCCTCTGTGTGACATTTAAGCAGCAGATTCACTTCACACTAATTGGCACTTGTGTATTTTCTATGAGCTTGTGTGAGACAGCGCACCAACTGCAGGGCTTGTCATTGATGGCATCTGGTTGTAATTACTTAACAAATTAATTAAATTAATGAATGGCAGGCTTCGGCTATAAGAAGCTTTGATGAAGATAAAGGCAACAAAAGCCAAGACAAGATGATGTGCTGTAGGTTCTCACCATGCGTTCACAGCTAGCTTTTAGTTTATTGTGTTATGGGACTTTAGAGGTGAGCTATTTCCCTTCGCAAGCACCTGTATCTTCTTCTGGACTATTTAAAGGCTTAGTCACCAAGATTACAGAGTATTAATAACATATAAAATGCACCAAACTCCCTCCAGCTGGAGCTCTGGTGTTGCTCAGTGCATATAATCATAGCTGTAAATCATCATGAATAATACTAATTGCAAGACAGACAGTAAGATAATTACTGACCTACCCAGCCTGTACTCTCTGTTATATCAATGTGGGACAAAGGAAAGCATTAAAAGAAAGTGGGATGATTTTACTGTGCAGTGAGCACCGTGTCTCTATTCATTTTTCTCTATAATAACTTGAACGTGGTGCTATTATCAAGTTAAAATCTAAACATTTCTGGATTGGGCTAAGCCTCCAATGCTTCAAGACAACAACGCCTCTGCTTCACGTTAAATAACGTCGAGAAAATCCAAGACTAAATGTAAGTGATGCTGAAAGAATTCACATTGACCTTCCTTAATCCTAAACTAGCTACACAACCATTGTTAGCAAACTTCGCTAATAATCATAGCACTATTTAGGCTCGCTATGCAACTCAAATGATCATCAACTAACCTCATAAAGTTGCGCCGTAATGTTTTCTGTTTGCCTCAGCTTTTCTTGAACCTATCTAACTTTAAAACGTTAGGAATACACTGTCTTTTTATTCTCTTTTCGTCCTCGTCTGTTTGTTTGAGTCTGCCGCCTTCACGTTGAGGTACTCGTGATATTTGACTGTACAAAAACGCTATAATGTGGTCAAGACTTAAAACCTTTACTTTAATGTAGCTAATAATAGCAACAAGCAATTTTAAATGTAACATATAAGCATCCAAGAAGGGATTTTTAAAATTCTATACTCATATTAGTGTCCAAAACGACTAAATCTTTAAAATGATTCATTTCTAGCGAGGCGCGATGGACACCTAATATTTTGACGTGTTCGGGTCCTCGCTGAAGGGTGTGTTTACATCGACGTCACAGCAGTTTGCCGAAAGGGTGAGTGAAGTGTTTTTTAATTTCGTTGATTAAACACTATAATTGACATGTCGTGAGAAAGGCTAAGGTCATTTAACCTGTTATCGTAATAATTATCAGTAATACAAAGTTTAATGTTAATAAATAACGACCTATGCGGCCCAGTCCTCATATATCATAAAGGAAGTGCTTACGAGCTAGCTTCGGCGGCTAACTTGGGGCTAGTTTATTCGGCAAAACAAGCAATTGGTGGCTAAAGATCGGCTTTCTTCAGCAGGAAAACTCAGTGGATCGACAGTTTCATCGAGTGGATGTTAGGGCTTAAACTCAGCGTGGTGGCATTGTCAAATTCTGTATCGCTCAGCCACTGTGTCGAAGCTGTGATTATTAACCCAAGTAGTGTCTGCCAGTTCATAGATATGACACAACATATTCTTGGTGTTTATTGGGTCAGTTCGGTACAGTATGTCGCACCCAAAACTGGACATTAAAGAATCTAAGACTAAGAATTTAATATATGTGTTCTGTTGAAAATTATCAACACAAGACCAATCTGAAAAAGGACATGTGTAACTGGTTTCAGTGCCATCAGATCCAGTGCCTTCAAATTTCTATAATCCCTCAGGATTTAATTTCCATATTCATCTGATATACCCTAACAACACTTTGGGCTATAGCTGAAAGATTCAGTATGATAAAGTGTTTAATTTCAGTTGATATACGTAATTGTTGCTCATTGTTAAATACCTGTTTTTAGTTAAAAATCAAAATGTTGAATTTGAAATTAACTACTTTGGTCTCTTTATAAAGGTACATAGGTAATAATTTTAATGTTTACACATCCATGACAACTACACAAATAACTACATTTACACACATAGAAAATAATCATAATAAAGGCATCATCTCACCCTGACATACATTAAATCATCCATCCATCCATCATCTATACACCGCTTAATCCTCACTAGGGTCGCGGGGGGCTGCAGTCTATCCCAGTCGATTTAGGGCGAAGGCAGGGGACACCCTGGACAGGTCGCCAGTCTATCACATTAAATCATGAAATAAGTAAAACCCATAGGCACGCAGAGGGTGAAGAAGGTGGAGTCGCCTCACTACATTGAGGTGAACGTTCAGAGAGGCAAGCTAGAACCACATATCACCGGATCAGTTCCCTTCACTGGCCTCTATATGTACCCCAGCATCAAGTCAGTCAACCCTCGAAGTGGGCCACTTGGTGTATGTCACTTGCAAAGTGAAGTTGGTTGGGGACACTAGGTCATGGGTGTTGGTCTCCGATGGCCAAAGCTTCCACCATGGGAGGTCTGAGAGTGCGTACAGAGATGATAAGAGGCCCAGTCTTGGGAGGCCTGTATGAAAGCCATGGGGAGAGCGACAGAGGTGGAAGAGGCTACGTAGACAAGGGATATGTCAGGGTGTTTATCAGTGAGACTTATAACCAAAAATGGTGGAAAACCTGTCTGTACCAAATGATGAATTGGTTTGCCACAGTAGGATATGCCTGGATATTCCGAGATAAACTGTGACATGAATCTTTTTCAGATCAAATTCTGATTCATCACCATCATGTTCCACGGGATACCAGTCACAGGAGGAGTAGGAGGAGGTAAGACATTCAGTTGAATACAGTGCTTGATATTTAGATTTTCGAACTGTCCAGTCATCATCCTTTCAACAGTAAATCCCACTGTTATTTTATTGCACTGTTTTCTTTTCCACAGCTCCAGCCAATAAACCGGAGTTATATGAGGTACATTTAACAGTTTAATGTTCTAATTACTGCTGTGCTAACAGGATTTTTAACATAATGTAACCATAAAAATGTTCAACAATTACCTTATTGTTTTTTTTGTTGTTTTTTTTAGTTTAGTTTTGTTTTATAACAAGAACTTCCCATGCTTCAGTAAAGTTAAACCTTGGAAATGATATTAAGATTATGTGATATTTCTAGTTGTTTATCATAGCTATCCCAAATCATGTCATTTCAGGAGGTGAAATTATACAAAAATGCAAGGGAAAGAGAAAAGTAAGTGCTAAACATATTACCAACAACCAATATAACATAAATACATTATAAATAATAGATTGATTGTGTTGCCAGTTGTAACATCTTGATATTTATCTTGTTTCTAAAGGTATGATAACATGGCAGAACTGTTTGCTGTCGTCAAGACCCTGCAGGCTCTGGAGAAGGCTTACATCAAAGACTGTGTAACACCTAATGAGTGAGTTATACTTAAATTCATATTTTATGTTTACCCTTTGAACCCCAAGCATTTGCTCCTGTTGCATTTTTATTTAGTCATAGTGGGTTAATTTTTCACTGCAAAAAAAAGTTCTGCACCTCTATGGAAACAGCACAACCATGGATGGAAGTAGGGAGAACTCAAAAATGTCGTCTGTGCAGTGTAACAAAGTTATAGAGTCAAAAAGAAAAGAAAAAAAAAGACTTATTTAATTATTCATTTCACATAAATTGGAAAAAAAAAACTGGAATCAACATGTACAACATTTTTCATGTACCAACAGGTGTTACCAATATTTGAAAAAGAAATGGTGACTCTACATACTGTAGATGTTTTACTACTTACATTTTTAAATTGCTATCACATTTATCTCCTATCTGCTCTGTGTAAGCACAGCCTGGCCTGCAGTTCAACCGACACATTAGCAATGTTTTGAAGATAACACACTTTTCAAACCTGGTCGTTCCAACGTTGAGAGGATTGTAAGACTTAACAAATATGCCACACAGTACTTTAATTGTTTGTTTTTATAAATGACGATGTGTTGGTTTCAGGTACACAGCCTCCTGTTCCAGACTCTTGGTTCAGTATAAGGCTGCTTTCAAACAGGTGCAGGGCTCTGACGTGGGCTCCATCGATGACTTCTGCAGGAAGTACAGAGTGAGTTCTCATCTGGAGCACAGATTCTTTTATAATTCATTTTTCAACAATGATGTTTGATTTGTTTTATCTCTGTAATGTTCTGAAGAATCTTCCTTTTGTCATTTTCTCTTAGCTCGACTGCCCATTAGCAATGGAGAGGATTAAGGAGGATCGGCCAATCACCATCAAGGACGACAAGGGCAACCTGAACCGCTGCATTGCAGATATAGTTTCTGTATGTCCTTTCTCTCCACAATCATATTAAATAGTCAGTTCAGTCAGTTCAGACAAGAGACTTTGTTTGGGCTGTGTGCCAGAGTAAAAATTGTTGCTGGCTTTTTTTATGTATTTATTTAATGAAATGATTTAGTGCGCTCAGTTTGAGCTAAGTGGACGAAGTGGTTTCACGTAATTTGGCTCATCCTCTGGTCAGACGCTGAAAAATGTGAGTGGATATTGCCAGCTGTATCCACTGCCAGCTTCCATTTCATCTCATAAAATCACACAAACTAATAAAATCAGCGGACAGACAGTGAGATCCTGGCTAGAGCTGTGCACACTGTTTGTGTTGCTGACTGTAAAACAAATAACATATTTTCTCGTGCTGAGTGGGAAATTTTTGAAAATATGTTCAACAGCATCTCATTGTCACTTTCTCTCACCTTCTACAACCTTCAGCTCTTCATCACTGTGATGGACAAGCTGAGACTGGAGATCAGGGCCATGGATGAGGTACATTTTAAATTTATGCATACAGTGTTAACAGTAAACAATCACTTAAGTAGACGTGGAAGACACTAATTATTTTTCATGTATCCAGATCCAACCAGACCTGAGGGAGCTGATGGAAACCATGAACAGAATGAGCAACATGCCTCCAGACTCAGAGGCTAAGGACAAAGTCAGTCTCTGGTAAGTCACTCAAGCGAGAAGGCTAATACAGCATGCCAGTTTTGTTATTTAGAACTGCTGCAATGTGTTGCTGCAGTTTTTTGAGAACATGGTAGGTGGACATTTGGCAGTTATTGGCAATAATTTCAAGGGGACTTTTTTTTTTGTTTTTGACGCACACTGCAGCTTGTAATCTGCATCATATTTATGCATCTTGCACTGTATTAGCTACGTAGTTACTGTGGTAGCCTTTTGATGGTGTGGCAGAGTAGTGCTAGTCCTGTGGAAGTTCCTGGTTCTGGAGCTAAGTCTCGACATGTCACAGTTAAGAACCACAGCAGAGATACATGTTGTTATTTTCTTTATACAACAATGTGGCTACTTAGTCGTGTAATCTTTACTATGACGTATAAGTTACACTGACCCTCAGTAGTGCAGCTCTTACCCCACTCTGTGATAAGTTTGCATTTCAAAGCCACAACCTAAACCACTTATTAAGTTATGTTTTGTCTTAACTATTATCTTACGGGATCTTTTTTCACCAGGTTGACCACCCTGAGCAGCATGTCAGCCTCTGATGAGCTGGATGATAATCAGGTGCGCCAGATGCTGTTCGATCTGGAGTCGGCCTACAACGCCTTCAACCGCTTCCTCCATTCCTCTTAAAAGCATCTGTCCATCACAGAACTGTCTGTCTGGATTTCTGACTCTGATACATGTTAAGTTAAAAGAAAATACACTCTACTTTCTCCTGATTGTTCTGGCAGGGAGTGGATTTATAACTGGACAGGTTTTCTGTCTCATATCTGTGCAGTTCTTTTTTTTCTTTGTACATCTGGTTCTGATGTTCCATTATCAAGTTATGTACAAGTCAAACTCCGCCGCCTTCACTGTTTGTGGTACATCATGCTGCCTGCAGCCTGCAGCCCACTGGGCTCATTCCTGTGCTGCAAGCTGCTCCATAGGCCTTTTTTTTCTATCCAAATTTGTTTGATAAATCCTTTACCGTTGGCTGTTTATTCTCCACTTGACAAAACAGTTTACTCTTTATACTGTGACATCAAAAAAAAGGTCTAATTTTGTACCTAAGTTTTGCAGTTCAACAAAGAATAATTCTACAAATATATTTGGAAAGGCCTACAGATGAAGAAAAGGTTGCAACAGCCAGTCTTTGTATTACTGGAAAGAGGAATTCTTCTATTTTTTTCTTCTTGGTACCCTAATTGTATCCACTACCTGTCACCTGTTCACCGTGTGTTTTTCCTATTACATAGGTTTTTACTGTAGAATCGTATAATAGTGTGTGTAAATAGAGTAAAAGAAGCTGCTTTGTCTGTCAGCAAATCAAACAGAGCTGACTGCAAGATGATCAGACTGCACTTCAAATTAAGCATTATATTGAAACTAGGATGGAAGGAAATGCTGATTGCTTGTTTTTCTGACCCTATCTTTTGTTAACATGCCTAATCTATATTTCCTTTGAAGTGAGGGTTTCACCACATCGTGGGCAAAAGAGAGGTGGACACACTTCCTCCTCATTTTGCTTACTAAATATGTTTCAACCCCCAAACACCATTAGGGAGAACATATTTATGAAGATTTATCATTGTAAATAATAGTTTTGATTTTTAAATAAAAGCATGTAACACCTTTTTAGAAATAAACTTTTAAAAAAATAAAATACTTTCAGTTTGTGTTTTGTGTTGAAAATATGCCATATTCCCATATTTATAGTTAACTTTGAAATTAATTATTATAGTTATAAAGACCTTTTTACATGCATGTCAGCTGTAATTTTTTTCGTACGACTGCAGCAGATGCACATCATTGCTGGGTTAACCTGTTTGCCCCAAGACTGTTTGCCTCTTTTTACTCACCCACTGCCATTGGCTCTGCATTGTGTATACAAGTGTTGGCTCCAAGCTACAATTAAGTGCAGTGCACACATCAGATTATACAAGGCAGCTTTATTATGACCCACAGAACCCTCTCAAGCTGGAATGATAACAACTCAGAAGGCTAGTGCCAATATGAAACCTTATCAGGGAGTTTTTGGTGCCTGCCCCCCCCCCCCACACACACACACACACACACACAGACGCACTTCCTGTTAAATAAAGTAACACAGACTCATTGCGAACCGATCATGGTAATTGTCAGTGGTGGACATGCCCAAAACCCATTCTGAGCCAGGAAAAACCCTGCTTACTATTAGTACCAATGCTGTAATTTATTCGCTACCTTAGTTGAAAATAACATAAATAAAGTTGACTGCATGGGTTTAACACATTTTTATTTCACAAAGTATGCCTAACTGTGGGCTGCAAGATAGAAAGGTGGTTAGCATCGTTGCCTCGCAGCAAGAAGGTCGCCGGTTCGCATCCTGGTGAGGACAGCCAGGATCTTTCTCTGTGGAATTTGCATGTTCTCCTCTTGCAATGTGGGTTGTTCTCTGCCTTCCTCCCACACAGTGCAAAAACATGTTGAAATTAATTGGTGATTCTAAATTGTCCGTAGATGTGAATGTGAGTGTGCTTGGTTGTCTGTCTCTAAGTGTAGCCCTGTGATAGACTGGAGACCTGTCCAGGGTGTCCCCTGCCTTCACCCTATCAGCTGGGATAGACTCCAGCCCCCCACGACCCTAGTGAGGATTAAGAGGTGTATAGATAATGGATGGATGGATGCCTAACTGCTCAAGCATTAGTGTAAAAGAGGAAATAGTCCAAATAAAATCTAGTGTTAAAAAAGCATTCAGTGCCAACTTGCAATACTGATGCAACACAATGAGCAACAAGCAGGCGTCCATCAGAGTTATTTATTGCAATAAACCATCCTCTTGCCTTCCTAACACCAACTCCTAAGACTAAATCATATAAAATCATATTCCATCTTATAAGGAAGTTTATTTCTCCTACCCCTCTTAGCAGGAAAAAGGTGTAAGGCTCAGTCTTTGTGAGTTTTGATTAACCATTTTGATAGAGCTTTGTTAACTAATGAGGCCAACTGTGGCTTCATAGAGGTATTTGTGTGGGTCTGTCTTCCTTTCTTCCTCCCTGGAATTGTGCTCTTTGATTTACATCCTCAATAGAGGGAAAATTAGGCCTCCTCTGCACATGAGCACCAAGGTCAAGCTGGTTTCCCAGCACAAGTGGAAGAGAGACAGGCCTTCATATGAAACAGCCAACATGTCATATAGAAAATACAGAAAGGAATGAGTGGTAAATGTGAATATAAGGACTAAAGTGATGATTTTACAGTTGAAACCAGAAGTTTACATACACTGTATAAAAAGACATTTAACCTTTTATTTCTCACAGTCTGATATTAAATCAGACAAAACGATTCCTGTTTTAGGTCAGTTAGAATTACCAACATTATTTATATTTGCTAAATTCCAGAATAATGAGAGCAAATTTTTCAGAGAAATTTGTATTACTTTCTTTCACGTGTAGGAACTCCATCACATCATTGTTTCCAGAATCATGCACTAAGAAAGAACCAACTATATCACCTTACCTCTATCCCCCCTTTATTTCACTTGAGATTATAAGAGACTAATTTGTCTTGCGCTAACGTTAAAGGCGAGGTGCTGGTTGCTTTTTATGTCATTTTAATTTCTTTACATTGTTTTATAATTTGCATTCGGCGAGTTAGTTGCACCACTTACCAAGTTATTCGTAGTGCTATGGGTTGGTGTTGACCTCCAGTTGCAGGAGTAGCTGAAATGGGTGTTCACCTATTGATTTGTGATGATATGAGGTAAGGTTTCTTATAGCACTTGTGTACACACACACACACACACACACACACACACACACACACACACTGAGCATTCTGATATGGGTTCTATGCAGATTGACTCTTTTAAAACCAGCCTCAAGTGAAAGTCAAGGAAGTTTAGTTTTTGACACACTGGCGATTTTTCAGCCGACGTTGGTGCTTGCCACTAACCTAAACCCTTAACCATCTGAAATGCTCAACTCTTAAAACTAAAACCATACTTTATTTTTTTTTTAAATTACTATTATTAATATTTTTTCAATAGTTTTTTTAAATTATTAATTTCAGGTCATTTGTATGCTAGATTGTGTTATTGTTATGATGTATATACCGCGATGAAAAATACAAAATTAAAAAAACAAACAAAAAAAAAAACACTCCAGACAACATGGCGGCCGTGTGGCGAGCTTTTGTGCTGCGGCCCCTTTAAGACGCAGACGGCGGCGTATTCGTTACCAGGACGACAGATAGCGACAAAACTCCGCGGCTCGTCTGTTTGCAGCAGAAGTGTGGCAGCTCCTAAACTGACCACTAACACTTCACCTTGACCACAAAAAAACACAACAACACATTCTGCTTAGTGCCGGTTAAAGTAGACTGTGTATTTCTCAGTGACTACATGGAGGTGGAAGCTAAGCTGCTCCTCCACCGACACTGACTGGCTGAAGTGAGCAACGCGGCGTCTGCATGGGGAGTTGTCAGGTAAGGTGCGAAGCCACAGAGACGCTCGGCTGCTGTATCGGTGATATTCTTCATTGCTGTGTGTTGTGGGAGTCTTACGGACTTGAATGCTTCACCTCAGACCGGACCGCAGGCTTCTCTCGAAACGGTTTATTTACTGCTAGCGACGTTTCTTTTGAGGAAACTGACAGTGGTCTGTTTCAGGAACTATCACGGAGCTTGGCGAGGATTTCTGTGTGAGCAGCAGCAGCAGCAGCAGCACGAACTGAAACCGGGGAAAAATGAGCAAAAAATATGAGTCAGGAAACGTGTCTGAGGTGGAGGAACACATTTCTCTCAAGTATGAAATCAAGAAGAGACTTGGAAAAGGGGTGAGTGACCTTTTAGTTGAATTGCTGTAATGTAAATGGACGTTAATTTGCATGTGGTTATACGTAGAATTAACCCTGTTCTGGACTTTTGGACCCCAGGCCATTTGGTTTAGGTGACAGATGTTTTTTGGGGTTTTTTTGAAGATTTTTTATATATATATAAAAAGATGGACATTTGTCATGCATTTGGCACCAAAAATACGTCAACTTATCAGAGAATTTATTTAACATAGTGCAAAAGTCTATCATGAATACCAACAAATATTTTGCATGTATTCTTTCTTGGGGTCTAATGGACCCTGAAAGACCTTCTACTTATGGAAACATGAAAGTCCTGAGTAGGGTGAAAGGGGATCAGGGAAAAATGTTCAACTAATATATATCAACATGAAACATCTTTAGCTGAATTCTTGCAATAAGATCATCAGTTTTGTTTTTTGTTGTTGTTGTTTGTTTGTTTATTTTAGTTGTACATCAAATTTTCTAAAATTTTGTTTTGAATTTATCTCCAGAAGTGATCAAGCCAACTTTGAAAAACGTTTCATTTTGTTGATATTTTGACATTCTCTCTCTCGCTCTCTTTTTTTTTTTTTAAACTACATAAATCAGAAAATACTCAACAGCCAGTAGAAACCTTCAGGACATAGATGTGAATAGAAGTAGAAAATCTGATGTATGTAGGTGCTGCTGAAGTTGAGATTTCTGGCTCAGAGCATGAGAAAAAATTCATTTTGAGAAAATTGCCTCAACATATATGTATTGTTACTGAGCATATAGATGCAAATAGACAAAATGTTGAAAAATAAACACATACTGTGTGTTCTCTAACATGCTATGGAAGCACAAAATCCCATCTTAATAACAAAACTCTTCACACTAGAGTGCTCTGGAATAACCCTTCCGTCCACCTGTACATCACTTTTTTTTTTCTTTTTTTTTACCACTTAAGTTCCTTCTGTTCTTTAGCCTTAAGAAAATTCCTGAAATTCTCCAGACTTAAGGTCCTCAGTGAACAGCAGTGTTGTAAGCAAGAGGTTTATTTACTTTGGCAGGACAAACTCTTTCTTTGCAAATCAGCTGATGTGTGCGGGTGCTTGTTCCCTTTGGAGTCCAAACCCGTTTGTTTTTCTCTCCGCTGGTGCGGTTGCCACAGGACTAAAAACAGACTGGGTTTCTTTCCACCGTGTGTCCACAGAGATTCACAAATTGCTGCTGTGCTTCAGATAACCAGGTGATAACTGCCACGTAGAGCTGTCATATTGGCATACCTGAGGGCGGCGGTGACTCAGGTTACGCAGCTGTTCAACCTGTTTACTGTTGGCGTAGTAGCATCCTGGACAGGGTTTCTTAGAGGAAAGAAGTGACGGCAGCACTAAATTTAAAGAGCTGTAAAGTAGTTCTATAGCAGCCAACACTAAGCTCTATTATATGATATTATTCTGAATTTACTGTGCATTGTTTCAAATGTCATTTTGTTAAATTTCCCAGTGAGTGTACTTCATTATCAGTTTTCCTGGTTGCCCGATACAAAGAGTCTCCAGTGCTGTGTGAATCTGATCCTTAGCCTCTGATGACAATGTCGCTACAATAACAGTGTATCCTGATGCCCTGCCTCTGTTACGCTTGACTTCACTACCTGCCTCACCCTCCACCTTAGTCAAAGCTGTAGCTACTGATTCAAATCCTCCATATTTTGTTGTAGAAATATAGTGACCATGAGGGATTTGACATTTTCTAACTATCCATCCATCCCTTATCTATACACCGCTTGATTCTCACTAGGGTCGTGGGGGGGCTGAAGTCTATCCCAGCTGACTCAGGGTGAAGGCAGGGGACACCCTGGACAGGT